AAAAAAAAGGAAGGAGGGAAAGAGGGAAGGAAGGAAGGAAAGAAGGAAGGGAGGGAGGGAGGGAGGGAGGAAGGGAGGAAGGAAGACAAAATATAACATTGGACGCACGTTGTTTTTCAAACTGCACATATAACCCACATTTTGACTCAGGACTCTGGGTCGAGGAGGTACACACACACACACATCCCAGTCACTGTCCTAGGCTCTCCAGCCATGAGGTTTTCCGGCCCAGTCCCAACCCCGACCTAAGTCACCGGGTATCGGCCACCCATCGGCTGAGGTCCCTGAGCACCTGTTGGGAGGAAGGCTGCTGCGAGGAGCGGGAAAGTCCTGCGTCCCTCCGCTCTTACCGCGGCAGGAACCACAGCCTCCCCGAACCTCACGGTGTGTGCGGATTTCGCTCAGGGGAAAGCGCTCCAACGCGCGGTGCAAACGGAAGCCACTGGCTGGTTGGGCGGCTGTGATGGGAGAGCTGCATCCTCCCATCGCGTCCAGCTTTTCATGCTGATGTTGGTGAGAAGAGGGTGGATAGCGGGGATTCTCAGGATGCGGGCCTGGGGCCATTAAAGGCCGGGAGGTGGAGGCGTAAACCTGTGGCCACCCTGACCCCTGTCCTCGGTGGGGTCAAGCTCCAAGCTCTGCTCCAAGCCCAGGCCCGGCACGCGAACGAAGGAGGACCCCAACAGCAGTCCCTCCCCGGCCCTTCTCTCCCCTACTTTCTCCTCTCTTACCAGCTGCGTGAAGAGCACGCCCCCTCCCCAGTCCCCACCAATCAGCGTCCGGAGCGGCCCCCGAGGCGCCGCGGGGCTCTGGTCTGCAGCCAATGAGCGCCACGGCCCGAGGCGGCGCCTCACCCGCCCCCTCCCGGAATGAAGGCCTCCCGACAGCTGGCGAAACTGGCGCGGCGCGCGGGGCGCGGGAGCCGCGCGGGCCGGAGTGGAGTGCGCGCACAGCCCGCCCGCCTCCGCTCCGCCTCCGTCCGGGGCGCGGGCGAGGTGGCCGGGGCGGGGGAGCGCAGGGGGCAGGGCCGCGGCGGCGAGGCCGGGGGGCGGGGAAGAGCGGGCCCGATAAAAGGCGGCGCGGCGGCCCCACCCCGCGGCAGGCCGGCGGGCAGGCTCGGCGTGTCCCTTCCGTCCGGCCCGCGCCGGCGGCGGGGAGGCGGCGCGCGGCCCGCAGCCCGCCCATGGAGGCTTTCCCCTGGGCGCCCCGCTCGCCCCGCCGCGGTCGCGCCCCCCCGCCCATGGCGCTCGTGCCCAGCGCCCGCTACGTGAGCGCCCCGGGCCCGGCGCACCCGCAGCCCTTCAGCTCCTGGAACGACTACCTGGGGCTCGCCACGCTCATCACCAAAGCGGTGGACGGCGAGCCGCGCTTCGGTTGCGCCCGCGGTGGGAACGGCGGCAGCGGCTCCCCGCCCTCCTCCTCGTCCTGCTGCTCCCCCCACGCGGGGACTGGGCCTGGGGCGCTGGGGCCGCCCGACTACTACGAGGACGACGACGACGACGACAGCGACGATCCGGGGTCCCGGGGCCGCTACCTGGGGGGCGCGCTGGAGCTGCGCGCGCTGGAGCTGTGCGCGGGCCCCGCCGAGGCCGGGCTGCTGGAGGAGCGCTTCGCCGAGCTGAGCCCGTTCGCAGGTCGTGCTGCCGCCGTGCTGCTGGGCTGCGCGCCTGCCGCGGCCGCCACTACTAGCGAGGCGACGCCGCGCGAGGAGCGGGCCCCGGCATGGGCGGCCGAGCCCCGGCTGCACGCGGCCTCCGGGGCGGCGGCCGCCCGGCTGCTGAAGCCGGAGCTGCAGGTGTGCGTATTCTGCCGCAACAACAAGGAGGCGATGGCGCTCTACACCACCCATATTCTCAAGGGCCCCGACGGGCGAGTGCTGTGCCCCGTGCTGCGCCGCTACACGTGTCCCCTGTGCGGCGCCAGCGGTGACAACGCGCACACCATCAAGTACTGCCCGCTCTCCAAAGTGCCGCCGCCGCCCGCCCGCCCGCCGCCCCGCAGCGCCAGGGACGGCCCGCCTGGCAAGAAGCTGCGCTGAGGGCCCGGGCTCCCGGCCACCCAGGGTCGCCGCCGCCGCCCTTCGCACCACTAGGTCTGCGCACCATCTTGCCCCCGCCGTGGGGAAGCGTGCGGCTCAGCGGTCGGCTCGACTTTGGAACGTCGTCCTGGTGGTTTTTCAAAAGCAGCCGACCGTGTGGAGTACTTCCGTGCCGAGCAATTGGGACTAGACGGTGAAATCCCCATGTCTTCAGTTTCTAGTTTGCACATCCAGTACGGCGAAGGCTGGGTGTGTATTCCACTAACTGAAATACGGCAACTTAGAGGCGCTGTTTATTTACTGTATACGTGGACCTATTTTAGATGCGCATCAGTATGAAATTGTCTCAATCTAATCTTGGATGTTTCATTTTATGAATGGAGGCACTTTACTAGGTCTAGAATATTTTTTTAAAAGCCTCTGAACTGAGCTTAAAACTGGCGATTTTATGAAATGTCGGCAAAATGACTATTTTATTGTTTGAAGCGAGTAATATTCTTAGTTGTCCTTAAAAAATCAGTTACTCTAATTCCAGGTGAAGCAAGCCGCTGGTAGCATCACCCTTATGAGAAGTGAAGGTTTTGTAAACTTTCCAGTATTAATTTGGGCGGGTATTCCCTCCTTGTGGCTTGTTTCTGTCCTAGATGGAGGTGTAAAATGCACAATCTGTAGCAGGTAGAATACAGCTCCTTATCCTTTTATGTACCAGATATTTTATTACTGAACTAGCAACTAGCCTTTTCCACCTTTAAAAGTTGTGCCAAGTCATAATCATATTGTGTATAACTTGGAAATGGTGCTGTTTAAAAAAACTGTGTATTTATACAGTAACAGTATGAATTCATCAATCTCACCTGTAGCTTTTCTACTTGGCCTTTTCTCGACGCACTCACTTCCAGTTCTTTAAAAACGTTTGATACTAAGATCAAAGGGAAGAAGGGAAGACAGCAGTATTCACCCTAGATTGCTCAATTTCAGGGTTCCTAGTGGAGGAAAGCCCATTCCAGCTGTTGCCTCTTAAATAGAAGATGGATCTCTAGCTCTGAGCTATTCGTGTATTAACTCGTATTCAAGAAGGTTCCACCGTGGGCTGCGTCTGACTTTAATATAGGCAGTGCTCAAACTAGAATAAGCACTAATTAAAGGAATTGTTGGGGGTCTTTCATGTTCCCACTCCTACTGGAAGACCCATGTCCATTTCCGGAACCCCACCAGTTCCCCATAAGCAAGACTAAACCTGATGGGCAAAAGTTCCTAACCCCTACTTTACCCTCCCACCCTCACTTTTAAATCCACCATACTGAATGCCACACTATGGAATGCAGCTACCTGCCAATCAAGACAATAGAAGGCAAAAAATAGAAGTGAATTAAGATGAACTCATCTGAAATACACAAATGCATCACTATCTGAAGATACCAGCAAGAGATTTAGTCTAGGTGTATAAGGCTCCCAGTAGGATTTAGCTAGGCTACTATAAGTTAGACTGCTTTCATAATAACAGCTAACTTCCTCCACAGCAAATTGGCTCAATCAGGAACCTTCATTTGAAGGTGTGTTAGAGGGTGGAGTAAATACCCAATAGCTGTCTTTCTGGTCAAAGAAAAGGTGCAGCATATCAAGAACTTGGGGGCAGGGGGAAAACACTGTTTCTTAGCCAGGAAAGAAAAATAATCCAACGCTGCTAGTATTAACCCCAGACCAGAGAACTGCTGATCTGATTGGGCCTAAATTAAGTAGCTTAATGAAACCCTGTAATTACTTGTTCTCCTTTCTTTTGCTAGAAAATACACCGGTTTAAATGAGCTTCGCTTTTTTCTGGGTGAAGTTTCTAAGGCCAACATGAATCCTCTTACCTCTCCCACTGCTGCTGTTCTGCCTTTTCAAAAGGACCACCATAAACAGATCAGTGCATTCTCTAGGCCAAAAGGGCTAACCAGGTGGCAAGATTATTTTAGCTCCTGTGTATTTCTAGAGTCAAATTACAGACGGTTTCCAAAGGTCTTGGAGGCTTTGACATAGCCTGAATATATGGGAGTCACTGTGATGAGATGTGTCTAATGTTAATTTGATAGTCTGACACCGCTACTATTCTACCAGAACTAAGAACATACTGAGCTGGAGCTTCCTGAGGGCAAAAGTGTATTGGAAAAGGTATCCAGAAGACCCTCTCGTCAACTAGTCAGGCAGCCACTATTCCTCTGTTTTTAAAGTACCCCATTTTCAGGCTGGGCGTGGTGGCTTATGCCTGTAAACCCAGCACTTCGGGAGGCGAGGCAGGTGGATCACAATGTCAGACCAGCCTGGCCAACATGGCAAAACCCTCTCTCTACTAAAAATACAGAAATTAGCCAGATGTGGTGGTGGGCACCTGTAATCCCAGCTACTTGGTAGGCTGAGGCAGGAGAATTCCTTGAACCCAGGAGGCGGAGGTTGCAGTGAGCCCAGATCGCACCATTGCGCTCCAGCCTGGGCAACAGAGCGACTGTCTCCAAAAAAGAAAAAAGTACCCCATGTTCAGCCCCTGTGCCAAATTTGCCTGTTTTCCAGCTGACAATACTGGGAGTTAAAACACAGAATATTACTATAATTTTCTAGGGTTCTCTTATGAAAAGTATATGCAAGCAAACACATCATTTAAAAATCCTTGGAACTCAATATGAAACTTTCAACATTTTGCAAAATTACATTTAGAGAAACCCAATTTTTCAAAGTTAAGAAATATACAAAGTAATTATGACAAAATTATCTTCATAAGAACATGCTGCATACTTGGCCAAGTACACAAAACAATACAGGGAATAGTCAAAAGGGCTTCTCCAACTGTAGAGGTAGAGATTGTCTCGACCTGTTCTTTTCTGTACAGACTTTAATTTCTAGTGGCTTTTTTCTTTGTATTTTAATTTTCCTACAAAGTCCTTTTTGGAAGTTGCAGAATTATTAGCTTTGATGAGAACAACTTTTGTCATAGATTTGATTTATTAAACCAAAATTATACATATTAAAATTTTATCACAAATATATATGCTTCCAGACAAAGAAAAGTTTGTTAGTCCTGATTTTCTAATTGTAGCCACTCAAGCAACAGTCCTTTCACAGTACCCCATGTATTTCAATTAGACTTATAAAATTATAAATCAATCTATGGTGTCTTTGGTTTAAAAAAAAAAAATAGGCATTTCTTGACATAAAAACGTCCCACACATTATAGATGCCAACCACCTCCTGGTAGCCACTATGGACAACTAATGAGATGCAGAGTCTTTTTTGGACCGATGATGTCTCTACTATCGGATCTATCTGTATTAACAGCAGTGTTACTCTCAATGAAACTGCAGAAGCCACCAGGAACATGGAAGACCACCTAGCAGATTGGTGAGTAGGCTGCTTGTTCAGCTTTCCTTTAATACCTGTTGGTAAATACTAGTGGGAGTAGACAGAGTTGTACAGCCTGGACAGTGGAAACCAAGAGCAGGATCGCAAGGTAACAGCATCAGACTCTTCTGCCCTCCTCTTGCACTTGGGTTCTGCTCCCAGGACAAAGAACTTGGGAGAACAGCACGGGAAACTGAGTATGAGAAACTGAGTATAAGAATGGGTTTCCTGACTAGCCTTAAAACCTAACCCTAACGTAGCCAACAGTAACTCATCTGAACAAATCTGATTAAATAAATTGTTGGGGCTTACCTGTGATGTCACACATACAGATCTACTCTCCAGGAAGCAAACTCTTAGCAGGTTACTGCCCCACTGATAATCACTGATCTGAAATTCTCTTGTTATGAAAGAAAAGTCCTTCTCCCCACAAAAGACCTTTAAAGACTTCTACATATTTGAAATACCAGATACTAAGGTGTTTAAAATGATTTCTGTCATTGGTAACATCAAACAAAAAAGGCTGTATCTGGTTAAGTTAAAAAGCATCAATACTCCCTCTTCTGGCCCTACAGCTGTACCAATAGGAATTCTCACCACTACTCAATAACAGAAATAATAAGTGCCTACAGCCATGATGAATTTGTAACATTTTCTCAAATTAACTATGATTTTTCTAATTTCAGGTGAAAACCCAAGGTGGTACTTCAAACACGCACATGCACACACAAACTCAGAGGACAGCTTTACAAGGAAACTAAGGAATTTCTGCATTAACAAAGGAAGACATTTTAGGGGAGACATCTTAGCCACATATGCTTTCTTTGTTATATTTAGGTTCATATTCATTGATACTAAACACAGACATTTAATGGCACTGATAAAAATTCAAGTAAAAAAACTCAACTGAAGATGCAAACTTACCATTATAAACAAAATACTATAACCACAAATCAACACTAAAACAAATTCTGTAAGTATTTTATTTATCACTGAAGAAAAAACACAGCAGCAAGTTCTGTGTTGGCTTCAATGAGACCAAATAGTTAATCTTTAACATAGCTACTACACTCCAAAATTGAAGTCAACACAGTCATTACTACAAATTACTTGTTGAAAGAATCTATCTTGAAGAGAAAGAAAATTAGGAAAGAATTTAAACGATTCCTCCAAACCATACATTTATAAATATTGTCATATTTAAAATGCTTGAAAGGCATGAATTCTCTCCATTAATGGAAAAGCAGTTTACTATTGGCAACAGAAAAAAACTCAGCGATAGTTTACCAAATGCTTTAAAATTTAAAAGCTATACTGTTTGGATTCACACTTGCGCAGTATTCTTCTTGTCATTACAACAACTGCAAATTGCTTTGTACTCACCTCCTCTCAAGTAAAATCTAAAGAAAACCCCACCGTATCCAATGTTTGTAATGTTTACTTCAAGTGAATCTAAAAACTTTCTAAATTTAGTTTATGGTAAATACCTCAAAATACCTAAAATAGGTACATATCAACCACTTAAAAGTGTGAAAATTGTTTCAGATTCACTGCTTTAAAGGGTCTTCAAATATATTTTCTTTAACAGAACCTTACTTCATTCCAAATTAATATCAGATATTTCAAAATAAAAAAAAATATATCAGTTCTATACCAAGATAAAGGTGTTACTCAATACCTGAAAGTTCACATTTTAAATTTATTTTTTAGTTTTTCTTTTTTGTCAACAAATGATTGATGAAATAATGCAACACCCTTAAATTCCAGAAAATGGCATGGTTTTTCCAACCTCCTGTGGATATGGTGCATGATCAATCTATTATATAGGATTAATACAAGTTCATGCTTTTTGTGTTATGGTGAAACAACATTAAAGAATCCAATTTAGATTGGTTGAAGCACAAGTATAATAATCCTTGAATGTGATCAAACCTATTTAAGACACCAGTTTAAATCCATTATCTTGAGACTTAACGTCGTACTGTGGTCCATCCATCTTCATCAGTCTCATTTTTAGTACGACGAAGAGACTCCCTATCTTTTTCAGCTCTCCATGAGGCCTTCTCTTTTTCACCTTCTCTTTCTCGGTCTCGGTCTCGGTCTCTTTCTCGGTCTCTTGAAAGAGCTGGGGGAGGAACTCGACGAGGAGGGTCCCGCTCTTCTGCCCGGTCATCTTTCCTGTCATCAGCACGTCTCCAAGAACTTACTAGAAAGTTTAATTTAAAAAAAAAAAAAAATTAAGTTAGTACTATATTCTATTGGCACAAATTAACAAGCAGAAGAAATGCCTCAAATTCCTCAAAATTCCTGTACTAAAGACTGACAATATAGAAATCATAATTAAAGCTCATACAATTTCTCACAATCTTTAACATACAGATGTACAGATAAAACTCGAAATTTGAAAACAGGCAGCAAACCCTGGCCTGGGAAGGGCTGCAGCTGGTATAAACCCGTAAGACAAGGTAGCAAAAATCTGGCTGAATGAAAATGTTATAACTGAAAGGATTTTTGGCTCTTGAAGAATTTTAACAGCAAATTAGCCACATAAAATACAGGAGTTTTTAAAGTTATGGCTATGATAGAAGAATTCTCTCACTAACAGGATGTCAAGACATATGGAAAATAAATTTTTAAAAACCAAGAGAAAAATTAGTATTTTTAAAATGAAAAATACATATATTTTAAGAAACTTCTGTTACAATTTCAGAGAAAATGTTTCTACTTTGTGCTTAATCTCTCAAGAAGTTGCTTTTAAATTAACAATTTTTTTCATTTTTAAGTAAACTTTATATATATTGCCTACTATCCAATTTAGTCTACTACTGTACTTTGAATTTAGAGATAAGTGCACTTCACAACACGACCATTAACTGTATGAAAATCCTGAATTCTAAATGGAATAAACATCAGCTCTCTTATTGCTGGCATTCATACAAGTTTACGATATAATTAAATAACCCAAATCCCCCCCAAGAAATGACGGTTCTCCAATACTTCAGTTGTATGTAACATCTATACCTTCTTCACGTTCTGATCTGAGCGGAGGTCCTCTTCGGTCCCTATCGTCTCTTAGATCTCGTCTTTCTCTTAGATCACGCCGGTCATCCCTCTCACGGCGACGGTCATCCCTATCTCTATCATCCCGACGACTTGAGTCTCTCCAGCTTGAAGATTCCTCAGCTGGTCCTCTTCTCCAGCCACCTTCATCCCTGTAGCCATTTACAATGACAAGTCAGGTTCTTACTACTGTTAGACCAAATGGGATAATTATAAGTACATCCAATCCAAGCTGGGGCTTAGAGTTTACAAATTTAACAGGACAGTTTAAACTCATAACCTGACCTTACCTGATACCTGGGGCGTGGAGAACAAACGAGAACACTCAGATCTGTGCCATCCCACTCAGTAGCCACTACCCATATGTGGTTACTTAAATTTAAAGTAAAATGGAGATATTTCCTTAGGAGCACCAACCATATATTCTAAGTGTTTGACAGCCAAATGTGTCTGCTGACTACCATACTGGCCAACACAGACATAGACATTTTCTTCCTTGCAGAAAATTGCATTGAACACTGCTGGTCTACATTTATCAGTGCAAGGACACTTTGGCAGAGGGAGCAAGCTAGAACTTCTACTACCAATAAAATCAAAGGGCTTTTGATAATTTAAGGGCAAAAAAACTGACTGCCCTAAACCACAGGTGGAAAAGCAATGGACTGACAAAGACAGCTGGACTGGTTCCACTGCCCAACAGTCATACAGCCTATAGACAGCCACGAAGTTTGGGCCTCCATTTTCTTACTTTAAGAGGGAATGTTTGATTAGATAATCTATAAAAAAAATTTTTTTTTTTTTTTTTGAGATGGAGTTTCGCTCTTGTTGCCCAGGCTGGAGTGCAATGGCACGATCTTGGCTCACCACAACCTCCGCCTCCCGGGTTCAAGCAACTGTCCTGCCTCTAAAGCCTGCATTATGATTCTAAGAGATAAGGGGGGTGCTGGGGAACAGCAAGGAACATCATTTCTGAAAAACAGTTTGAAATACACAGGCCGGTGTCTAAAACAATCCGAACTGCAGCTCTACAAACTTTTTTTTTTTTTTTTGAGATGGAGTTTCACTCTTGTCGCCCAGGCTGGAGTACAATGGCACAATCTCTGCTCACTGCAACCTCTGCCTCCTGGGTTCAAATGATTCTCCAGCCTCAGCCTCCTGAGTACCTGAGATTACAGGCACACCACCACCAAATCTAGCTAATTTTTGTATTTTTAGTAGAGACAGGGTTTCACCATGTTGGCCAGGCTGCTCTCTAACTCCTGAACTCAGGTGATCCGCCCACCTCGGCCTTCCAAAGTGCTGTGATTACAGGCATGAGCCACCGCGCCCGGCCTCTAAAAATAATTTAATTAGAACATCACACCTAGGTCTTCTGAAGCGATCCTCTCGATCCACATCTCTCTCTCTGTCCCTTTCTCTCTCAGGTTCCTTGTCATTCTCCTCTCGATCTTGATTATCTCTATCCCTTTCTTTTTCTCTGTCCCATTCACGTTCTTCTGATGGCCTTGATTCTCGAGGTGGACCCCAGCTCTCCTCTCTGGCTTTTTCTTTCTCTCTCCATCCACCTATTTTTTTGAAAAAGCAAAACATTTTTAAAATATTTTTAAAAGAAGAAACAGATTGGCAATCATGAATAGACGCTGGCATTAATTCATCATCATTCTAAATGCTACTTTAAGATATTGATTAAAAAAACACTAAAGCTATGTATATCACTGTACAGACATCATTAACAGTATTTTAAACTTACATAAGAAACTTAAAATGGGCCGGGCACGGTGGGGCTCACACCTGTAATTCCAGCACTTTGGGAGGCCAAGCCAGGTGGATCACTTAAGGTCAGGAATTCGAGACCAGCCTGGCCAACATGTTAATAACCCTGTCTCTACTACAAATACAATTAGCCAGGTGTGGTGGTGCGCCTGTACTCCTAGCTACTTGACTTGGGAGGCTGAGGCACGAGAATCGCTTGAACCTGGGAGGCAGAGGTCGCAGTAAGCCAAGATAGTGCCACTGCACTCCAGCCTGGGCAACAGAGTGAGACTGAAAAAAACAACAGAAAAAAAAAAAAAAAAAAAAAAAAAACCTTAAATGATCTGGCTTGAGTGCTCCATAAAAGAAAAAAAATCACTAAAAATTTCATAATTTTTCCTATTGCACGCAGATTTCAATATAGTATCTGTTGTGATGTTAAACAGATCACTCATTTAAGCAGAAAACTTCAAGAGTTTTCTCTGAGTCCCAATTTTAAGGTATTTATACCTTGCAACATTTTCAAGGCCTTCATATTCAAAAAAGAATCTTTCCTTTTACATTCCTATCCTCCACCATTTACCACCCACCATTATCTAATCATTAATCATGAATAAATCCTTTAACCCTATAGAGTGGCTCACACTTATCCATGGAATATATGAATCTAGGAACATTTCACATAGATTACATGGAGATATAAATTTGTTGGTGACCTCACTGTTTAAAATGGCTTCCAAGCGTAGTGCTAAAATGCTGTCTAGTGGCCAGGCGTGGTGGCTCATGCCTGTAATCTCAGGAATTTGGGAGGCCGAGGAGGGTGGATCCCTGGAGCCCAGGAGTTCAAGACCAGCCTGGGCAACATGGCAAAACCACATCTCTACAAAAAATACAAAAATTAGCTGGGCTTGGTGGTGTGCACCTATAGTCAGCTACTCAGGAAGCTGATGTGGTAGGATCTCTTGAGTCCAGGAGGTAGAGGTTGCAGTGATCTGAGATCACATGACTGCACTCCAGCCTGGAGACGGAGTGAGACCCCGCCTCAAAAAAAGAAAAAACAGGGGCCGGGCGCGGTGGCTCAAGCCTGTAATCCCAGCACTTTGGGAGGCCGAGACGGGCGGATCACGAGGTCAGGAGATCGAGACCATCCTGGCGAACACGGTGAAACCCCGTCTCTACTAAAAATACAAAAAACTAGCCGGGCGAGGTGGCGGGCGCCTGTAGTCCCAGCTACTCTGGAGGCTGAGGCAGGAGAATGGCGTAAACCCGGGAGGCGGAGCTTGCAGTGAGCTGAGATCCGGCCACTGCACTCCAGCCTGGGCGACAGAGCCAGACTCCGTCTCAAAAAAAAAAAAAAAAAAAAAAAAAAAAATGCTGTTTTTGAAAGTAATACAGCTTTACAGGGCTGTAACACATATATTAGATAAGCTTGTTCATGAATGAGTTATAATGCTGTGCAGTATGAATTCAATGGTAATGAATCAACTCAGTAATATCAAAAATAGGGGTCTTTAACTTTGGCAACACATAAAGACATTTCCATATTAGGCTGAGTTGACAAAAATATCACTTAGCTACTGAAAAGCTCACAAAAAAAAAAAAAAAAAAAAAAAGAAAAAAAGAAAAAACAAATGCTGTTTAGTGGCCCCAAGCACACGGTGGCTAAGGAGAAAATACATGTATTAGATAAGCTTTGTTCATGAATGAGTTATAATGCTGTTGACCATGAATTCAATGGTAATGAATCAACAACGTATCAGAAATAGGGGGTCTTTAAACACAAACACATAAAAGACATTTTATGTATTGACTGGTTGACAAAAATATCATGACTACAAGCTCACAAGAACCTAACCTTGTATTTCCCCTAGGAACAGGAGTTCAGTATTCATGACAACTTTATAAAATATAATTAGCAAATCAGTAAGAATCTGCTACACTGTTACCCCATTTAACATGAGGCAAAGAAAAATTAAATGGCTTACACAAGGTAACAGCTGAACAGTGGAATGAAGTGAGACTAAAAGAGATGAAGTAGGCAACAGAAACAACTGGGGAAAGCAAGGAAGCAGCTCACTTAGATCTGCACTTAGAACAACTGCTCTAGTTATTTCCCCCACACCCAAAATTAAAACTGGGAGTAAGAGAGGAAGCAAAAACCAGTTAGGGGGTGAGGAAAACGATGCTGAGCCAGGACCAAGTACAAGCAATGGGAATGGAGAAGAGGGTGGACTTCAGGAACATCAAAAAGGTCGAACTGAACTAAACAAACATTTAACACAAAAGATGAAACAGAGACAAAACAACTCCCAGATTCGTAGCTCAGACAGTTAGATGGACAGTGATGCCCCTGAAGAGAATCAGAGGGATGGGTGTTCATGAATTCATGGTCAACAGCATTGTAACTCATTCATGAACAAAGCTTATCTAATACATGTATTTTCTCCTTAGCCACCGTGTGCTTGGGGCCACTAAACAGCATTTGTTTTTCTTTTTTTGAGGCGGGGTCTCACTCTGTCTCCCAGGATGGAGTGCAGTGGCGTGATCTCAGATCACTCCAACCTCTGTATGTGATGGTGATGAGTCCAGTTTTGGATAGGCTGTGTTTGACATTCAGTAAGACTACCAAGTGGAAATGTGCTATATGCAGTAAGCAGCTGTCACCTGTGTGCAGTACGCAGAAATTACCTAGAGAAAACTCGCCGGGGCAGTGGCTCACGCTGTAATCCCAGCACTTTGGGAGGCCAAGATGGGTGGATCACTTGAGGTCAGGAGTTCGAGAGCAACCTAGCTACCAAGGTGAAACCCCGTCTCTACTAAAAATACAAAAAATTAGCCAGGCGTGGTGACGGGTGCCTGTAATCCGGCTACTCGGAAGGCTGAGGCAGGAAAATAGCATGAACCTGGGAGGTGGACCTTGCAGTGAGCCAAGATCATGCCACTGCACTCCAGCCTGGGTGACAGAGTGAGACTCCATCTCAAAAAAAAAAAAAAAAAAAAAAATTAGCCATGCATGGTGGCATGTGTCTGTAGTCCCAGCTACTTGGAAAGCTGAAGCAGGAGAATTGCTTGAACCCAGGAGGCAGAGATTGCAGTGAGCTGAGGTGCACATACAATTCCAGTCTGGAAGACATCTCAAAAAAAAAAAAAAAAAAAAAAAAAAAAAAAAAGGAGTAATAGATGTGTGTCACAGACATGTATACAACTGCTCACAAATAATAAAGTGTTAAACAACAAGTAGGCCCAGGACTAAGAAGAAACGAGGCTGAGGCACAGTGCCTCACACCTGTAATCCTAGCACTTCACTTTCTGCGAGGGGAGAGGCAAAGGATAATTGAGCCCAGGAGTTTGAGACCAGCCCCTGGGCAACATGGCAAAACCCTGTCTCTCCAAAAAAAAAAAAAAATAAAAAAAAAAAAAAAAAAAAAAAAAAAAAAAAAAAAAAAAGGGTAATAGATGTGTGTCACAGACATGTATACAACTGCTCACAAATAATAAAGTGTTAAACAACAAGTAGGCCCAGGACTAAGAAAGAAAACGAGGCTGGGCGCAGTGCCTCACACCTGTAATCCTAGCACTTCACTTTGCGAGGGAGAGGCAAAAGGATAATTGAGCCCAGGAGTTTGAGACCAGCCTGGGCAACATGGCAAAACCCTGTCTCTCCAAAAAAATAAAATATTAGCAGGGTGTGGTGGCATGCGCCTGTAGTCCTAGCCACTCAGAAGGCTGAGGTGGGAGGCTCTCTAGAGTCAGGGAGGTCAAGGTTGCAATAAGCCATGACTGCACCACTGCACACCAACCTGTGCAACAGAGCAAGACCCTGTCTCAAAAAAAGTAAAGTAAAATGAGTTCCTCTGTGCATAATCTCTCATTTGGCAGAAATAAATATATAAAGTACATTTTGGTTTCAATTATTTATTTTTAAAAGGAGGCTAGTTCCCAGTAAAACCTGAAAAACACACCAATACTGAAGGGATGAGTACAGGAAGAGCCTTCAAAGAAGCAGTCAACGAAGCAGAAGGAAAATAAAGAGCACACCACAAAAGAAGAAAGAGGGGTTGGGTTATTTATGTTTTGGATGGTAGTATTCTGAAGGCAAACTTTTGACAGGTAAGTCACTGCAAATGATACTGAAGATAAAAGACCAGTTTATCTGGAAAATAACAATATAGCCCTGACATTTATCTATCAGAACTTCACTTTTACAGGTGAACACTTAACCATATTCTAGGAAATAGAATTTTACCTGGCTTGACTAATGGTCTCCAAGGACCAGGTCTTGAGTCATCACCCCGTCTGGGAAAGCGATCATCATCAGCACGTCTTGAAAGCCGATCATCATCCATGTTTCTCCAAGGGCCCCTGTCATCCTCTGCACCACGCCTGGGAATTCTATCTTCATCGGCATTTCTCCAAGGTCCTCGATCATCATCCAACCCTCGCCTGGGACCCCGGTCATCATCCATGCCTCGCCTGGGACCCCGGTCGTCATCCAACCCTCGCCTGGGACCCCGGTCGTCATCCAGCCCTCGCCTGGGACCCCGGTCGTCATCCAGCCCTCGCCTGGGACCCCGGTCGTCATCCAACCCTCGCCTGGGACCCCGGTCGTCATCAGCATTACGCCAGGATGATCGCTCATCATCAGCGCCGCCTCGCCTCGGCCCCCGGTCGTCATCCATCCCACGTCTTGGTCCTCTGTCCTCATCAGCTGTTCGCCAGCTTCCTCTGTCCTCATCCAGTCCTCGTCTAGGTGGTCTGTCATCATCCGCGTGACGCCAGCTTCCCCTGTCTTCATCAGCAATTCGTCTGGGAGGCCTGTCATCATCTGTGTTACGCCAAGAAGGCCGGTCATCGTCTGCCCCACGGCGAGAGAACCGATCTTCCTCAGGACCACGTCTAGGGCCTCTGTCATCATCCATGCCACGCCGGGGAACCCGATCATCATCTGGTCTAAGAGAGGACTCTCTATCTTCATCATCCCCCAGACGCCGGGGCCGCTCTTCATCTCTTCTATGAGACCTGTCCTCATCTCGCCCTTCTCCACGTCTCCACTCCCTACACAGAAACAAGAACAATTAAAAATACATAAAATAAAAAAGGACACGATCCTTTGGGGATTTTTTTTTTTGACGTGCTTTTTTAAAACTTCAGTATGGGCCGGGTGCAGTGGCTCACGCCTTTAATCCCAGGACTTTGGGAGGCAGAGGCAGGCAGATCACCTGAGGTCAGGAGTTCAAGACCAGCCTGGCCAACATGGCAAAACCCCATCTCTACTTAATTGTAAGACAAGTAGCTTGGCGCAGTCGCTCCCACCTGTAATCCCAGCACTTTGGAAGGCCAAGGCGGGAGGATTGCTTGAGCCCGGGAGCGTGAGACTAGCCTGGGCAACATGGCAAAACCCCATCCCTATAAAAAAATAAAAATTGACCAGCTGTGGTGGCTCACGCCTATAATCCCAGCACTTTGGGAGGGCGAGGCAGGCAGATTGAGGTCAGGAGTTCAGGACCAGCCTAGCCAACATGGCAAAACCCCATCCCTATAAAAAAATAAAAATTGACCAGCCGTGGTGGCTCACGCCTATAATCCCAGCACTTTGGGAGGCCGAGGCAGGCAGATTACTTGAGGTCAGGAGTTCAAGACCAGCCTAGCCAACATGGTGAAACCTCGGGTCTACTAAAAATGCAAAAATTAGCCAGGCGTGGTGGTGCATGTCTGTAATCCCAGCTACTTGGGAGGCACAAGAATTGCTTGAACCCAGGAGGCAGAGGCAGTGAGCCAAGATCCCGCTACTACAGTCCAGCCTGGGCGACAGAGCAAGATTCTGTCTCAAAAACAAAGAAACAAACAAAATTAACCAGGCATGGTGGAGCGCACCTGTGGTCCCAGCTACTCAGGAGGCTGAGGCAGGAGGATCGATCACCTAAACCCAGGGAGGTTGAGGCTGTAGTGAGCCGAGATTGCGCCACTGCACTCCAGAGTGAGACACCATCTCAAAACAACAACAACAACAACAAAAAGAAAGAAACAAGCCAAGTGCAGTGGCTCAAGCCTGTAATCTCAGCAATCTGGGAGGCTGAGACAGGCAGATCACTTGAGGTCGAGGTCAAAGCCAGCTTGGGCAACATGGCAAAACCCCATCTCTACTAAAAAATACAAAAAGTATCCAGGTATGGTGGCATACACCTGTAAACCCAGCTATCTGAGAGGCTGAGGCACTTGAACACAGGAGGCAGAGGATGCAGGGAGCCAAGATCGTGCCACTGCACCCCAGCCCGGGCAGCAGACCCAAAAAAACAAAAACCAAACCCACACACAATCAGACATGCACACAATTCTTCATGGCTCTCCTTTCCCTGCCTCTACAAAATGAACCAAATTTTAAAATCACTGATAAAATATTAACAAGAGGCGGGGCACGGTGGCCCATGCCTGTAATCCCAGCACCCTGGGAGGCCGAGGCAGGCGGATCACAAGGTCAGGAGATCGAGACTATCCTGGGTAACATGATGAAACCCTGTCTCTACTAAAAATACAAAAAATTAGCCGGGCGTGGTGGCAGGCACCTACAGTCCCAGCTATTTAGGAGGCTGAGGCGGGAGAATGGTGAACCCGGGAGGCACAACTTGCAGTGAGCCGAGACTGCGCCACTGCACTCCAGGCTGGGCAACAGAGTGAGACTCCGTTTCAAAAAGAAAAGAAAAGAAAAGAAAAAAGATATTAACAGGAACTGAGGAACTGGAGCAGCATTATTTTCCTCAACTCTACTTACTTCTCTGGCGGGCCTCTTCTCCATTCAGAATCTGCTTCAGGTCCTTTTCTCCAGGTGCCTTCTGAATCTCTATCTCCCCAACGAGAGTCCTCCATTGACAAAATGAAAAAGAGGCATTATATTGGTAACCACTTACTATTACAACTACTGGTATTACCATTCAAATATTTTTTGTACTTATAACAATATGAAGCCCTTAAATAAGCAAGTTTTAAAATTTTATTTATTTTTTAATCTGAGATCAGACCGATGCTACAGGGAAACTAGTAGTCTCATATATTGTGGGTGACCTTACAAACACCGCTGGAAAGCAACCTGGGAACACACACCTCTACAGATTTCCTTCAACTAGAAATCCCCTTTGAAGAATGTGAAAAAAGCCCCGTACCCTGAAATAGACATCACAGTGCCTACTAAGCAAAGAAAGGTGGAAACATTTTATTTAATGTCTAACGGGGGTAGTTAAATTAAAAGTACTTCTCTATTCAAAGTACTCTGATGGGTCAGATGCAGGGGCTCACACCTGTAATCCCAGCACTTTGGGAGGCCGAGGCAGGTGGATCACGAGGTAAGGAGATCAAGACCATCCTGGCTAACAGGGTGAAACCCTATATCTACTAAAAATACAAAACATCAGCCAGGCATGGGCCAGGCACAGTGGCTCACGCCTGTAATCCCAGCACTTTGGGAGGCCAAGGCAGGCGGATCACAAGGTCAGGAGATTGAGACCATCCTGGCTAATACGGTGAAACCCCATCTCTACTAAAAAAATATAAAAAATGAGCCGGGCGTGGTGGCAGGCGCCCAGCTACTCGGGACGCTGAGGCAGGAGAATGGCATGAACCCGAGAGGGGGAGCTTGCAGTGAGCCAAGGTTGCGCCACTGCACTCCAGCCTGGGCAACAGAGACTCCATCTCAAAAAAAAAAACAAAGTACCTTGATGACATTAAGAATTGTGAAAAGTAAATCTGGTACAGCCTTTGCGGGGGACGATGCATGCACAATTTTAATCATAAATATCCTCTGATACATTGTGGCTGGTCATACAAGTGTAACCTAAAGCCATTATCAGACAAGTGAGAACTCTGGAAGATATTTTAAGAGATCTGATGATAGGGTGGGAAGACTAAAATAAATATTTAAAAGCTGGCCAGGAGCGGTAGCTCACGCCTATAATCCCAGCACTTTAGGAGGCTGGGGTGCGTGGATCATTTGAGGCCAGGAGTTCGAGACCAGCCTGGCCAACATGGTGAAACCCTATCTCTACTAGAAATATAAAATAATTAGCTGGGCATGGTGGCAGGCGCCTGTAATCCCAGCTACTTGGGAAGCGAGGCAGGAAAATCGCTTGAACCCGGGAGGCAAAACTTGCAGTTACCCAACATCGCACCACTGTACTCCAGCCTGCACCAGAGCGTGAAGCTCTGTCTCCAAAAAAAAAAAAAAAAAAAAAAAAAAAAATTACAAAGCTAAGAATAAGCTACAGCCTCTAACAATTTGTGAATAAAAGAACCTTTATTTGATTTTTTTTTTTTTTTTTTTTTTTTGAAATGGAATCTCACTCTGTTGCCCAGGTTGGAGTGCAGTGGCATGATCTCAGCTAACTGCAGCCCCTGCCTCCCACGTTCAAGTGATTCTTGAGCCGTAGCCTGCCAGGTAGCTAGGACTACAAGCGCCTGCCACCATGCCCAGCTAATTTTTGTGTTTTTAGTAGAGGTGGAATTTCAACATGTTGGCCATGCTGGTCTCGAACTCCTGACCTCAACTCATCCACCTGCCTGGGCTTCCCAAAGTGCTGAGATTATAGGCGTGAGCCACCATGTCTGCCCTTCTATTTGAATTTTTGAAAAAATGTCTTGGCAATGAAAGTCTAAAATAACAACTAGAGATGAGAAGCAGTGAAAGACAAGAATGGCCAGAAAAAAAGTTAGTCCCAGGTCATCACAGCTAATGATTCCGGGCTGTCTCTTTTTTTTTTTTTTTTTTTTTTTTGAGGCGGAGTCTTCACTCTGTCGCCCAGGCTGGAGTGCAGTGGCACCATCTCGGCTCACTGCAAGCTCCGCTCCCGGGTTTGTGCCATTCTCCTGCCTCAGCCTCCCGAGTAGCTGGGACTACAGGCGCCCGCCACCGTGCCCGGCTAATTTTTTTGTATTTTAGTAGAGACGGGGTTTCACCATGTTAGCCAGGATGGTCTCGATCTCCTGACCTCGTGATCCGCCCGCCTCAGCCTCCCAAAGTGCAGGGATTACAGGCGTGAGCCACCGGCGCCCGGCCAGGGCTGTCTCTTAAGGTGGGGGTTGTTCTAAGAGACTTTCCCAAGTAAACACTTTGAGAGACAAATAGAAACGTAACAGTCAAAGGAATTTATGGGCACCATAATGGAGGGAACAAACACAGCCAGAAGGCCAAGTTTCTCCCACCCCCGATGCCTGCCTTGCCAATTTATACTCAACAAAGAAAGCAAGGTTTTAGAGGATATAGTACAACTATTACAACCGCCAAAGACTTTTGAAGGATGGCTGTTATAGCCATTAAACAAGCAAAAAGATATAACTCTGCCTCCTGGGCTCATACTTCCACCTCAGTCTCCCAAGTAGCTGGGCATGCACCACCACGGCCAGCTCATTTTTGTATTTTTTGTGGAGACAGGGTCTCACTATGTTGCCAGACTGGTCTCAAACTCCCAGGCTCAAGTGATCCGCCCACCTGCCTCGGTCTCCCAAAGTGCTGAGATTATAGGCGTGAACCAGTGTGCCCGGCCCAGCAGATCCAAGAGCAGAATGGTCCCAGCTGATGAGCAAACAAATTGAACCAGGATCTCAGAGAACCTGGTACAAACAACAGATGAAGAGAGTAAAAGAAACATTAAAGATATAAAGAGGACTTTGAAAGAGCAAGAACAGAGAAAAAGGAGAAAAGTTTCCTTAAATTAGGAGATTTTTGTCTGCTCTAAGGAAACTGAATCTTTAGACCAAAAGGCCAAAAGACCAAAAAGAAACAAAGATGACCAAACACTCAGGTGTCTAAACACAGTCTTAGCGACAGTTTTAACTTCCTTTACTGCAAGTACGGAGAAAAATTACGTTTCCCAAGGAATGAAACAGTATCTACAGAATAAGACCAAGACTAGTACCAAAATCCTCCCCTCTGTAACACTGTGTACTACAAAGAGAAGCAAAGATCTCTATTATTTCTGAAAAGATGATTTTGAACTGGCCAAATAATGAACCATCCATTATTCAACCGTGAGAGAAAAAACTTGAGACATACGCAAAGACATTTTGAAAACAACTGATTAAGAATCAAAAAGTACTCACAAAGGGAAAACATGATGCAGTGTAAACATACCTGAGACTAAATAATGTTTGCTAATATGGATATAAAATTTTAAGTGAATACTAAGAGGAAAGATAATGTGTAATGATCTAGAAACAAAAATACCCAGTTCACTGCAATAAAATATAAGTCAAGGTATGCTCATGATTTTGTTTTGTTCTGAAAGGCAAAGGAAAGTTGTATTTTATACTTTGGAAGTTTTTTTAAAAACTAAGGAAAAAATTAATGGTGGCCGGGCAGAGTGGCTCACGCCTGTAATCGCAGCACTTTGGGAGGTTGAGGTGGGTGGATCACCTGAGGTCAGGAATTTGAGACCAGCCTGGCCAACATGGTGAAATTCATCTCTACTAAAAATACAAACATTAGCCAGGCATGGTGGCACGCGCCTGTAATCCCAGCTACTCGGGAGGCTGAGGCAGGAGAATTGCTTGAAACCGGGAGGTGGAGGTTGCAGTGAGTCGAGATTGCACCACGGCACTCCAGCCTGGGCAACAGAGAAAGACTCTGTCCCAAAAAAAAAAAAAAAAAAAAAAAAAAAACCTAGAAAAGTTCTTCAAGTTTGGCTTAAAGAAAAAGGAAGGGGTGCCAGGGACATAGAAGCAAATAAAGAGCTCCAAAGCAAGTGTTAGGAACAAAACCAAATACACTAGTTACCATGTTAAATCCAAGTAAATTAAACTATACTCTCCCAAAAAAAGGGAGGGTGTGGGGGGGGGGGGCAGAGGGGGCATAAAACAGAAACAAGAGGCTGAAAATGTACAAAAGGGTGGACAAACACATTTGCAAATGCTAACTAAAAGGATAATCTCAGAAGGTAAGCTTCCTCACATTCCTAAGGAGACATTTCCATAAACTAACAAGATGCAGCAGATTTAAACAAAACAGCTGATTTCATGCACACACAGAACTTTGTGCCCAACAGAAAAAAACATTCATAAAAACCTGACCATGGTTTTAGAACACAAAGGAAAATGTATTATTAAATTCCAAAAACTTGTAAATCATACAGACCACATTTACTGAATACCAAGGAATTAAAATTACAAATTAGCAGTAAGAATAACCTAAACTGAAGACACATAAATAACTAGTATCAAGTCTAGGCATACAGATAAGCATTTGATACAGGTGTGGCAAAAACAGAGGAGCAGAGAAAAGGCATGCGAGACATCCTTGAGCTTTTTGAGTGAAAGGTAAGCAAGCAATACTTTAAGGGGCAAACAGGGCACCTCCCAAGCAAAAGGAAGAGCGTGCAGACAGATGCCACAGACACAGAATAAAGCAGAAAACTTGCTCTCCAATGGTTGGAGCACAGGTGACTAAGAAGAAAATAGTGTCAGACGAAACTGATGAAAACGGCAGCAACATGAAAGACTGCTAAGGCGTGTTTTAAAACCTTTGGCTCTCAGTAATGAGTATCAACCAATGAAAGGTCTGAAACCCAACAGCAGGCACAGTGATCACACATGCTGTATTATGAAAAATCAAGCAGGCCACAAAGTAGAGGAAGGTCTGAAGCTGGAGGAAGATGATGATGAGGGAGACTAGTAAGTAGACCAACAAGTATTGCAGGTAAGAAAAATCTGAATTAAGGCAATAATGTAGGAAAAGAAAAAAGGAAGAGTAGATTCAAAGCTGTGACAAAGCAAATACCAGTAACACCAATCAGGAGAGGGAATTCCAGACACAAGACAGAGAAGGGAACACAGGTCCGTTCTGAACCTGAGTGCAATTAAAAATGAGCATTTAGAGCTGAGTTTGAATCACCTAGGAATCCTGTTAAATTGCATACTTTGATTCAGAAGTTTTGGGGCTGGACCTGAAAGTCTGCGTTTCTAACAAGTTCCCAGGTGCTGCTGACAGCTGCTGGCCACCAAACACATCTTTACCTCCCAAGGAGCTACAGAACTCATCATCCTCTAAATTCACGATGATGTCTTTTTTTATCCCCGAGACAGAGTCTTGCTCTGTCACCCAGGCTCGAGTGCAGTGGCGCGATCTTGGCTCACTGCAACCTCCGCCTCCTGGGTTCAAGCAATTCTCCTGCCTCAGCCTCCTGAGTAGCTGGGATTACACGAGCCACCACCGCACCTGGCTCATTTTTGTATTTTCAGTAGAAACAGGGTGTCACCACGTTGGTCAGACTGGTCTAGAACTCCTGACCTCGCAATCCGCATGCCTTGGCCTGCCAAAGTGCTGGGATTACAGGCATGAGCCACCACGCCCAGCCAGACAATGATGTCTTTCAAGGAACTCAGCAACAGTCCCTCTTCTGTAGCAAACTCAGCAGTGCCATGGACAAAACTTTCATGACACGCACACGCAAAAGTATGCTTAACCCTATAAAATTCCATCTTTGCTAAGACAAGTATAATTCTTTCCCCCTTAGGTGCCTTCTGTTCTTTGGGAAGAGAAAACTACCACATTAAAAAGAGAGGTGAACATGGGGTGGGTGCGGTGGCTCGCACCTGCAATCCCAGCACTTTGGGAAGCCGAGGCAAGCAGATCGTTTGAGGTCAGGAATTCAAGACCAACCTGGCCAACATGGTGAAACCATGTTTCTAATTTTAGTAGAAAATTTTGTTTTCTACTAAAAATACAAAAATTAGCCAGACATGGTGTTGAGTGCCTATAATTCCAACTACTCGGAAGGCTGACGGAGGAGAATGGCTTGAACCTGGGAGGCAGAGGTTGCGGGGAGCCGACAGAGATCACACCACTGTACTCCAGCCTCGGCAATGAGGTGAGACTCTGTCTCCAAAAAAAAAAAAAAAAACAGAGAGAGAGAGATGTGAAAATAACTGATTTAAATACATTTACATCAGTATCATGGAAGAGAACTGAGTGATAAAAATACATCACAATTACAAAAATCAGCCAGGTATAGTGGCATGCGCCTGTAATCTCAGCTACTCAGGAGGCTGAGACACAAGAATCACTTGAATCCGGAGGCTGAGACTGCACCACTGCACTCCAGTCTGGGCAACCTGGGTGACAGAGCAGGACTGTGTCTCAACCAAAAAAATAAATAAATAAATCACATTAAAACAAAATAAAATCAATAAACCCTATACTCACCTTTCTAGAAAGTGAACTGTCGCCAAGTCGTCTCTCTTCCTCTCTACGACGTTCTCGTTCTTCAATTTCCAACTCCCTTTGGCGTTTTTTCCTTTCCACTTCTTCTAATTTCTTCACCCGCTCCTGATACTCTCGTAGCTCTTCCTCGCGTTTTGCTCGTTCGGCGCGCTCTCTCTCTTCCCGCTCTAGATCATTGATTAGGTTACTAAGTGTGCCTCCCAGCCATATCTTCCCCCTAATGCTAGTTCTACTCTTCTGGTATTAAACAGGTAGCATAATGTACAAGTAAAAGAATTTAAAAATAGTTTGTAATCAGCTACATGACAGAACACAGTCAATAAAACAAGTACTACACCCCTCAACTATAGTTTTGTAATAAGATACTAGAATTCCTGAGCAATTTGGGATTCCAGATACAGCATCATTTAACAACCACCATCTGGAATGTATTCCTCAATAAATGTTAATATACAGAATATGGTGATAAAAAACAAAAAGTATTAATTTTTAAAAGAACATCAAATGTGTGGGGAAATGTTGGTAGATGATGTAACAACTTCACATACAGCAAACTGGGTTCTGAGATCCAGTTAATTACAGTGCTAAAAGGCCAATTACCTTGATTCCTGTATTTTCTACATAAGATGACTAAAAACTAGATCCAACACCAACCTTGCATTAGCACCCCTCCAATCCTTTTCAACCTGTGTACCTTTTAGCATTTGTTCTTCTGCCCTTCTTTGCTCCTCCTCTTCTTTTTCTCTATAATATGTTATTCTGCGTTCTTCTTTACGTTGCCTTTTCCGTTCTTCCAATCGATTATGCCTTTCTTCTGCTAATCGCTCTTCAAACTGTTTAAGTTTTTCCTGCAAAACCCAAAAAGGACACATTTTGTTAAGAGCAACAAACTAGCAGAAAGCTATTAGGTTTACAAAAGACTCTCAAGTGTATTAGAATCATCGAAAGCAACCTCTCAGAACAAAAACTCTAACTTCCAAATGACCACTAACTTGTCAGCAGGCCGAATTTTAAAAAATTTAAATTGTTGATATTATCTACATCCAGTGGGTTTATCTTTATACAAAATAAATTCAATGATCAAATTAGAACCTAAGCCCGGGACATTTTGATCTAGTTTTTTTATTTCTAACAAAAACAGTACACAAAACTTGTATTAAACCATGCGTTCAACTTTCACCTTTAAGAACAATTTCTTTAGGTGATTGTTTTGCTTACGAAATATTATCCAAAAAGTTCTACTATTATTTGAATGACCGTTATACATAGTAACTCAAGACAGAATATACCAATTTGTTAAGGGAGAACACTTCAGCCAGTACTAGAAAGCTCATGAATCAACATTTCCCAAAAATCAGCAAGCTCACCTCATAAACAGACTGCCGTGCAGCTTTGAGTCGCATTACAAATAAATCTCTGTCTTCAAGCATTCGTGACATTCGATTCTTATGTTCAAGAGCCTTTTCACGTTCTAGCTGCATTGTAGTAATCTGCAAGTACAAAATACAGTGAAATTTCAAAGCATCACTTTTTTTTACTCATCAACCCCAAATTACTGACAAATACTCTTGAAAAATTAGAAGCTGCTTCATTGCCCCTTCTATCATGCCATAAAAAAGCATTAACTACCATCCATGTCAACAGGTCCCCAGAAGACAACTAGGGGCAAGAGGTAGACAAAGTAATCCTGAGGCATTTAGGAAAGACAGTTTTTATTTAGTCCCATGACACCAGGAACTTTATAAAGGAAAACCTATGATACACGGACACACCTTGGAGGCACTGCAGGTTTGGTTCTAGACCACCACAATAAAGAAAATATTGCAATAAAGTAACACAGATTTTTTGGTTATCCGATGCATATAAAAGTTTACAATCTATCAAAGTATGCAACAGCATGTCTAAAACACCAATGTACAAACTTTAATTTTAAAATACTGTTAAGTGGGATGCAGTAGTACGCTGAGGCAAGAGAATCACTTGAGCCCAGCAGTGCAAGATCAGCCTGGACAATATGGTGAGACTCCTGTTCTCAAAGAAAACAAAAAATACTTTATTCCTAAAAAATGCTAGTGATCACCTGAGCCTTCAATGAGTCATCATCTTTTTGCTAGTGGAGTCTTGCCCCAATGTTGACGACTGTTGACTGATCAGAGTGGCGAGTACTAAAGGATGGGGTGACTATGGTAATTTCTTAAAACAGGTAACAATGAAGTTTGCCACACCAATTACAACCTCTTACAAAAGTTTTATCTAGCATGTAGCACTGGTTGACAGTTTTTAACTTAAGAGTAGAATTTCAATTTGATCCAATCCTCTCAAACCCTGCTGCTGCTTTATCAACTACACTTATGGAATATTCTAAATCCTTTGTTGTCAGGTCAACAATGTTCGTAGCATTTTCACCAGGAGATTTCAAGAAACCACTTACTTTGCTCATCCATAAGAAGCAACTCCTCACCCAGTCAAGCTTTATCATGAGATTGCAGCAATTCAGTCACATCTTCAGGTTATAGTCTGTTTTTGTTGTGTGTGTGTGGGTTTTTTTTTTTTTTTTTTGAGATAGGGTCTGTCTCTATCACCCAAGCACTGGAGTGCAATGGCACCATCTCAGTTCACTGCAACCTCCACATCCTCCCACCTCAGCCTCCCAAGTAGCTAGAACTGCAGGCACACTCCACCACGCCTGGCTAATTTTCCTATGTTTTTGTAGAGACAAGTTTTCACCATGTTGCCCAGGCTGGTCTCCAACTCCTGGACTCATGCAATCTGCCTACCTCAGTCTCCGAAAGAGCTGGGATTAGAGGTGTGAGCCACCCCACCCAGCGTATACATCTAACTCTACTTCTCTTGCTGTTTTCACATCTGCAATTATTTTCTCCACTCTACTCATGTACCCCTCCAAGTCATCCATGAGGCTTGGAATCAACTTCTTCCAAACTCTTGCTAATGTTGATATTTTGACCTCCTCCCACAAATCACAAATGGTCTTAATGGCATCTGGAATGAAGAATTCCTTCCAGCAGGTTTGCAATGTACTTTGCCCAGATCCATCAAAGGAATCACTATGGCAGCTACAGTCTTATGAAATACATTTCTTAAATAATAAGACTCAAAAGTTATTCCTACATCTATGGGCTGCAGAATGCATACTGTGTTAACATGCATGAATACAAACATTAATCTCTTTTATACATCCCCATCAGAGCTGTCATATGATCAGACGCATTGTCAATGAGCAGCAATATTCTATAAACTCTTTCTTTTTTTGAGCAGTAGGTCTCAACAGGGGGCTTAAAATATTCAGCAAACCATGCTACTAACATATGCTGTCATTCAGACTTTGTTCTTTCATGCACAGACCACAGAAAGGGTAGATGCAGCATAATTCTTAAGGACCCTAGGATTTTTGGAATGATGAGAATTGGCCTCAACTTCCAGTTAGCAGCTGCATTAACCCCTAAACAGTGAGCATACCCTTCAATGCTCTGAAGCTCGGCACTGACTTCTCTCTACATATGAAAGACCTAGTTGGCCATCTTCTTCCAACAGAAGGTCGTTTCATCTACCCTGAAAATCTATTGGCTGGGCACCATGGCTGACCCCTGTAATCCCAACACTTTGGGAGGCTGAGGCAGGCGAACTGCTTGACTTCCAGAGTTTGAGACCAGCCTGGGAAGCCTGGCGAAACCCTATCTCCACTAAAAATCCAAAAAAAAAAAAAAAATGCTGGCATGGTGGTTCACGCCTGTGGTCCCAGCTACTCAGGAGGCTGAAGTTGGCACTTGAGTCCAGGGGGTAGACGTTGTAGGGAGCTGAGGTCGCGCCACTGCACTCCAGCCTGGGTGATACAGCGAGATCCTGTCTCTCAAAACAGCAAGAAAATCTCTTGTTCAGTGTGGCCACCTTCAACAACTATCTCAGCGAAATTTTCTGAATAACTTGCTGTAGCTCCTCCATCAGCACTTGCTGCTTCACATTGTACTTTCATGTTATAAAAACGGTTTTCCTTAAACCTTATGAACCAACTTTTGCTAGCTTCATACTTTCCTTCTGCAGCTTCCCTTATTTATTTATATATATAGATATATATTTATACATTTAGTGATACAGAGTCTCCCTCGGTTGCCCAGGCTGGAGTGTAGTGGCGCAATCTCAGCTCACTGAAACCTCTGCCTCCCAGGTTCATGCAATTCTCCTGCCTCAGCCTCCTGAGTGTCTGGGATTACAGGTGTCCGCCACCACGCCCGGCTAATGTTTGTATTTTTAGTTGAGATGGGGTCTTACCATGTTGGCCAGGCTGGTCTCAAACTCCTAACCTCAAGTGATCCGCCCACCTTGACCTCCCAAAGTCCTGACATTACAGACATGAGCCACCGGGCCCCGCCTTTTGCAGCTTTCTAACCGCTCTCAGCCTTTGTAGTATTAAATGTTGAGCGTTAGAGCCTTGCTCTGGATTAGGCTTGGCTGAAGGGAATGTTGTGGCTGGTTTGATCCAGACCAATGAAACTTTTTCCATATCAGCAATAAGGCTGTTTCACTTTCTCACTGTTTATGTGTTCACTGGAGTAGCATTTTTAATTTCAAGAACTTTTCCTTTGCATTCACAACTTGATAAGTTCAAGAGGCCTAGCTTTCAACATGCCTTCCTCACTAAGCTTAATCATTTCTAGCATTTGATTTAAAGTGAGAGACAGGCAACTCTTCTATTCACTCGAACACTTAAAAGCCATTGTGGGATTGTTAATTAGCCTAATTTCAATATTATGTCTCAGGAGCCAGGCATATAGTGGCTCACGCCTATAATCCCAGCACTTTGGGAGGCTGAGGCGGGTGGAACACTTGAGGTCAGGAGCTCAAGACCAGCCCAGCCAACATGGTGACCCCGTCTCCACTGAAAACACACTTGGGATGTTGAGGACGGAGAATCACTTGATCCTGGGGGGCAGAGGTTGCAGTGCGCCGAGACTGCACCACTGCACTCCAGCCTGGGCAACAGAATGAAACTCTGTCTCGAATAAATAAATTATATATATATATATGTATATATATATATATAAATGTCTCAGGGAATAATAGGAAGGCTCAACGACAGGGAGAGATAGTCAGGGAATGGCCAGTCAGTAGAACAGTCAGAAGAGACACAACATTTACAGATTAAGTTCACTGCCTTATATGAGTGTGGTTCGTGGCACCCCAAAATAATTACAACAGTAACGTCAAAGATCACTGATCACTATAACAAATATAATAATGAAAAAGTATGAAATACTTTGAGAATTACCAAAATGTGACAGAGACATGAAATGAACACATGCTGTTGGAAAAATGGTGTCAACAGACTTGCTCAATACAAGGTTACTACAAAATTTTAATGTGTAAAAGAAAAAATAAGAATAAAAATAGTAATATGGGGGGGCTGGAGAAGGCATGGTGGCTCACACCCATAATCACAGCACTTTGGGAGGCCCAGCCAGGAGATTCGCTTGAGCCCAGGACTTTGAGACCTGCCTGGGTAACAACACAAAAGCACAATAAAGTGAAGCACAATAAAACGAGGTTTGCCTATATATAATAAAATAAAGTAATAAATATGACATGGTAACACCAAACACCATGGTTTAATTTTTAAAGGCATTTTAATCAATGCAAGATGATATACGGCTATTTCCTTTCTGCCCTATGTGAAAAAACGGAAGGCTCCAAATCAACCCAATTTGGTCTGCACACTTTTCTAATTAGTTTTTAATATTTACATGTTAAGAGAATTATCACAAAAATTCCAACTTCTCCTGAAAAAATGGGAAGAGCTGGCAATCCTAGGTCCATTAATCTCCAGGTGACAATATTCAGATAAAACCAAGAAAAGGCCGCATTCTCCTATTACATTCTACACCGATGTTTGTCTCCTGCTTATGGTTACTTTTTTAAACCAGATCTATTCACTCACTTTTACTACATATTTGGTGCCGTAAGCATTTGTAAACCCTGCTTTTGTATCAAGTAAATATAATATACACCATAAATTAACAAAACTATGGAATGACCTGTTTATTCACAAAAGACCACATAGTACACAATTCTATTTATATAAAATGTCCAGAAGCAGCAAATCTAAAGGAGTAGTTTAGCAGTTGCCTAGGGCTGGGGTGGTGGGGAACAATAGGGATGACTATTGCTAATGGTTTAGAACTTCTTTTTGAGATATGTTTTAAAATTAGATTGTGGAGATGGCTGCACAATTCTGCAAGTAAACTGAAAACTATGAGTTGTATAAACATGCCATACAATTTACCCATTTAAAGTGTACATAAAGCAGTTTTTTGTAAAATGGGCTTTTCAGTTGTCCTTTGTTTTCCAAGTTTCGTTTGTAATCTCTATCGTGAAATGTTCCATCTTTCTACCAATCTGTTCATAGGCAGCCATTAGAGCACCATTTCTAGCAGAAGAATACAAAATAAAGCAATTCTGAATGCTCGGTTCCATCACTGGCAGAGGATTTAATTACAATCTAAAAATATTACAATTAAATTAAAAACTTACTCTTTCTTCCTCTTGTTGCTCCCACAGATCCATGTCTTTAATTCTCTGTTCCTCGTAAGCGCTCTTTATCAAAGGAATTTCTTCCAAACGTTTGGCTCTTTCAAAATAGTCAATCTGAATGACACGATAACACACGTAGTTTTTAAAAATCTCTCTTAACTTGGTATGTTAAAGGTTTACCAATCCTTTCATTTACCTTCTTTTCTTGATTCTTTAGGCGTTCCTGAAGTTCTTTCTTTTCTTTCTCCAGTTGTTCAACTTGTTTAGCCATGATAAAATCTGGATCCAATTCCTCAAGGTCCTAAAAGGTAATACAAATGCACAATTGTTAACAAGGATAAACAAGCAATGCCTAACATAACTCACTGCTTTCTAGAATAAAATCCTAAATTGCTTTCATTGTTACAATGGACAATTTAGGAAATGTAAAAACATCATACAATAGCCTTATTTCCACTTGACCACAAGGAAAAAACTATCCATACATCTTTTTCTCACTCCTCCAACCTACATCTACCTACATTCTACTAAACAGGGTAAGCAAACCTAATCAGAAAACCCAAAATCTGAAATGCTACAAATTTTAAAACTTTCTGACCACCAACATGGTGCCACAAGTGTAAAATTCCACAACTGACCCAGGTGACAGGTCAGTCAAAATGCATTAAAACTTTGTTTCACGCACAAAATTATGTAAAATAGTGTATAAAATTACTTTCAGGCTACGTGTATAAGATGTCTATGAAACAGGCCTTGTGTGGTGCGTCGCACCTGTAATCCCAGCAATTTGGGAGGCTGGGGCAGGTAGATCACTTGAGGTCAGGAGCTGAAGACCAGCCAGGCCAACATGGTGAAACCCCATCTCTACAAAAAATACAAAACCTAGCCAGGCGTGGTGGCACACCCCTACAATCCTGGCTACTTGGGAGGCAGAGGCTAGAGAATTGCTTGAACTTGGGAGGCAGAGGTTGCAGTGAGCCAATATCATACCACTGTACTCCAACCTGGGCAACAGAGTGAGACTGTCTCCCACGAAGAAAAAAAAAAAAAAAAAAAAAGTCTTATAAAACAAATTAATTTCGTGTTTAGACTTTACTCCAATCCCCAAAATATCTCATTATATATACACGCAAATATTCCAAAATCCAAAATCTGAAAGGTATCTGCTCTCAAGCATTGTAGGTAAGGGATATGCAACCTGTTCTGTGATTAATATATAGTAGTTAAAACTGCACAGAGCAGGCCGGGTGCGGTGACTCACTCCTGTAATCCCAGCCCTTTGGGAGGCTGAGGCAGGCAGGTCACCTGAGGTCAGGAGTTCGAGACCAGCTTGGCCATCGTGGGGAAAAGCTGTCTCTACTAAAAATACAAAAAATTAGCTGGGTGTGGTGGCAGGTGCCTGCAATGCCAGCTACTTGGGAGGTTGAGGCAGGAGAATCACTTGAAGTTGCAGTGAGCCGAGATCACATCACTGCACTCCAGCCTGGGCAACAAGAGACTCCGTCTCAAAAAAACAAACACAAAACTTCCCAGAGCAATAAACATATGCTTACTCACAGATTTAGTCATGACCAACTGTATCAAAATGTGTGAAATAACTCAACAAGCCAACAAATGGTACAGGACTATGGTTCTAAGAGTACAAAATACCTGGATAAAACTAGCTTTTTAATGACTAAAATGCTACATACTTCAATGTCAATATCTTTGAATGCTTTGGCACCCAGTTCTGTTTTCTTGATCTGCTCCAAACGCTCTCGAACAGTTTTCTTTTTGATTTGTTCATGTTCCTGTAAGATACGCTCCTTCTCTCTCTCCTTCGCTTCCTGGCGCAGCCTCTCTTCCTCGGCCTTCCGTACTTTCTGGAGTTCAGCTTCCCTCTGTTCCAATTCTTCTTTCTCACGCTGAATATTCAGACTCTCAAGGCGCTCTTTTCTTTCCTCAATTGTCTGGCGGCGAGCCAGGATTCGCTGGTGCTCTTTTCGTGAATTTTTAAGGTATGCAGTAACAGCCAACTGATGCTGTTCTTCTTTCTCTTGCTTCAAAACCAAATGAATTTTTTTAAATGACCAAAATTAACATCCTCTGGTATTAGACATTAAAGAAATTACAAAATAATCCTGATGCATTTTCTATGTATCTGCATTTGATAATGGAAGATGACACTATTCAAGCTGTTTGTTTTCAGTATCAAATGCTATGGTGTTGCTCCTACTCAGTCTTTTAATAGCAATGACGCAGCTAAAGCAGCTCTCCTAGCTAAGACAACTTTTCACTGCACCAAACCTACCTTAGGTGTTCATTAACAGAGCTCACAAACAAGAAATCACTTGTTACAGGTAGTGGCTCATGCCTGTAATCCCAGCACTTTTGGGAGGCCAAGGTGGGTGGATCACTTGAGGCCAGTTTTGAGACCAGCATGGCCAACATGGTGAAACCCCATCTCTACTAAGAATACAAAACATTAGCTGGGCACGTGGTACGTGCCTGTAGTCCCAGCTACACAGGAGGCTGAGGCACAAGAATTGCTTGAACTCAGGAGGTGGAGACTGCAGAGCCGAGATGGTGTCACTGCACTCCAGCATGGGTGACAGAGTGAGACTCCATCTCAAACAACAACAACAACAAAAAAAAAAAAAAGAAAGAAAGAAATAACTTAAGCAGGAGGGAAAAATCCACTCACTGTACTTCACTATTTGAGGAATCCTATGTCTACTCTGCTGTTTCTGTAACATAATCCACACTTTTACATTACCTACACAGAGAAGTATTTTGTTCGACGGAAGAAAGCTCAATGATTTGTGTATTTGATCAAATAACAAAACTACCAAGTACAATTCTATAGGAAATATATCATAAATCCCTTCTCTCAGATATTGTCTCAAACCTCTTTGTGAAAGACATGGCCCAAGAGTTCCTCAAAACTTCTGGGATTTATTTCCCCGGGAAGATGCATACCAGTATATGAGCTGGTTTAATGACTTCAAGAGCTTTTGCAAGTACTGAGGACATGGCTGTCAGCTGATTTCTTATCTGCTCTGAAGGCATGCTTTGCAAATGAGGACCAATTGGAGCATCTTCTCGAGTAGCATAATTCAAATCAGATCCAAAACTCAGGGTCCGAGAAGTGTGATCAATACGAACCTTAAAAATTAAATTATCAATGGTTAAATCCATAAGTAAGCATGAAGTCAAAAAGTAACAGAAGAATGTCATATACAAAAGCTGGAAAAGTTCACTCAGTAAACTTTAAAATGGTATCACTGTACCAAAAGCCGAGAAACAAAAGATACGTGTTTCTAGTCCTCAAGGGCCTTCTCCTAGCTCCTTACAAGCACATACCTACCTGCAAGTCGCAATGCCTGGCTGCGTCTACTATGGCCCGTTCCAGTTGGAAAGCATCAACGAAAGGAACCAGAGAAGTCAAACGAGAAAACTCAATGCTCTGATAAATCTGTGACACCTGCATAGAAAACATAGGGTTAATAACACGAGTCACTATTTATTCAGCACTTTTTATGTGCAATCTCATGACAGTCATGGGAAGTAGAAATTATGCCAGAGAATTTATGTTAGCAGTACATTGTCAAAGCCAGAATGCTAATCCCAGACTATCAACTCTAAACCCCATGCTTTGAGAACCATTACCATACTATTCTCAAACCTATAATCTTTTCAAATCCTAGTTGTCGTAAAACAAAAAAGCCTAAAAACCTGCTACTTACCGAATATATTTAAACACTTCTTATACAATTTTTGTCTGAAGGAGACTGGCAGCATTACTTTTTATAGTTATACTGCTAATTAGCCTTCAATTATCTGTATAGCACATAAGAAATAACACTGCTCACATATACAGAAGAAAGCAGGTCAATGACATGTGCACAAATACTGAGATGAAAATATAATAAAAGGCCCTCCTTCCCAAATGAAACAAATGGAAAACAAAATGGCAGCACTTACTTAAGCCCCTGGACTAAAATATATGAAAAGGCTGTCTCATTCACTCACAGTGGGAGGATCTATTAATCCAGGCTTCTGAATAGCTATTAAAGCTTTAAATCCATAAACACTATGACTAATTCCACTTCTTATGCCACGGAAAGTAATAGAAGTATGCAAAGATACATGTATGAAAGATGATCAATGCTACAAGACTTCTAACAAGAAAAAAAAAAAAATCTAATAATATAGGTTTTCATCAAGAGAGTCTGAATAAATACACCACGGTACCTTAAATGGAATAAGGTAGCCCGTACATTACTAACAGGGAAAAATGCCCAAAGACAGTGTTTGACCAAAAAAAAAAAGTGTATTACAAAATACGTGAATATAATAATTCTGGTTTTCTGAATTTCTGGTTTTATTTATTAATTAATAAATAAACTAATTTTTGGCAGGGGCAGAACATGGGGAGGTTCTCACTTCCTAGGCAGTTCTAGATTTTTCCAGTTTTTAGTTTCATGATGAGCACATACAATCAAGGAAATTCCAGTTCTTCCACAAAACACTTTATTTTTACCTGCTGCAGAAGGCGGAGGATGGTGTTGTTTTGCAGTTGTGGCACATACTGTTGCAATTCCGGTTCCTTTTCAGGTTGTTCCCTAACCCAATTTAGAACCTATAAAATTCATTAAGTTGAAAGAGAATCATACTTTCTACATAATAGATACTAAAACATCTAAAACTCTCTCAGTTTTTTTAATATACAAAAACATCATCCAATGCAAATAAATACAAAATGTATCATGAAGCTACTGATACTTGTTTGAAGGTGACTGGCAGCAATGGCTAAATTAGTCATGCTGCTAATTAACCTCCAAATGTTTGTTTAGCACATCAGAAATATCTTTTCTCTTGAAATAAAGAAAAAAGACAATGAAATGTGCACTGAATTCCAACACATAGGACAAAACTTCTCTCTTAACAAGTATCAATACAACCCAAAACTGCAGTAAGGCCAACTCTGTGGTAACAACCAAAACTAAAATACAAAGGCTTACCTTTGTGACTCGCTCACAGAGTTTTAACGGGTTAAATTCCACTTCAAGCCAATTGTAAAGGTCTTTCACTTCTGGGACAACATATTGTAGTACATTAAATCTGACCTACAGTAAGCAAAACAAAAAATGTAACTGCCAAAGGAAATTTTCCAACTAAAATTCTGAACTTAGTATAAATGACAGCATTGGAAATCTGGAAAACGATTTAAAAAATCACCAAGCCTCAATCTCCTCTAAATTTACCAAAAATGAATCCAAAGTACAACTATGCTGGGTCTCCTGCCCCACGCTATGCACACTAACCTACAGTGAAAAGCCCCACAGGTATGCAAAAAGGAAACTCTAAAAAACACAACCACAACCAATTAAATATTCACAAAGACAACTACTGTGGTCAATGGAATATTTTATTACCAATAACAAGGAAAATACCGGAATTTTACTTTTATATAAATTGTCACACAAAAATAATCACGACAGCACTATTTCTAATAGCTCCAAACTGGGGAGAATTCACATACTCATCAATAGGATAGTGCTGTGTTCATAAAATAAACAAAAATGCTCAAAAAAGAACAACTACATAGAACACATGAATAAATCTCACAGACATAACGGTGAGAAAAAGAATTTCACATATCACCCCATTTATATGGACTTCAATTTTACCATGGAATATGTCATTTTTTAGGAACTGTTAACCCAAGGACAGAATAACTGCTGGGACAGAGCAAAGCACAGAAGTGTGCACCCATAGAGAGTGGGTAACAAAACCGAGGCAAATGTTGGCAGATCGCATCCCCAAGTCAGGGGGGCGGGCGCCCACACACGTGAGCACTCAGGGCTAAGGTTAACTCTAATGTAAAATGGGTACAAGACTGACACCATTCTAACACTTCCCCCTTATAAGCATCCATTTATCTTGACTGCAATAAGGTGTGGTATATGCATACAAATAAAATTCCCTAACTTGGAATCTACCTTTAAGAGGAAAAAAAAAAATTTAACAGCTCTAATTTCATTCCTATCAAGTTATTTTAGATTATTCATGTAGCTCCCCTTCCAAATAGGGAATGTGAAAGGTTGCCATAATCTACTAAATTATATTTCTCACTAAAATACACAATTGGTTTACTTTCTGATTTAAAAGTCACTCTTAGGAATGTTTGAGTCTTTTCCTGAGATAAGGGAATCACTCTGTCTCACAAATTTGGTGATGGAAGCCTAACGCTCAGGTATTGACCTTGGATATATGGCCAACTCAAGAAGTTGATAAATGCCTCTTGGCAGTCAGCTAATCCATTCACGTGACACTAACGGGTATCCTCCTAAAAGTTTACACTCTATGGGCACAATGAGGACCCTAATCTAGACGCCCTAGCTGCCGGTCCAATGCTACCCATGAGTGATCACTGATTGACTTGCTCACAGACCTTTAGTGGCTTAAATTCTACTTCCGGACAATTGTAAAGGTCTTTCGCTTCTGGGACAACATATTGCAGTATATTAAATCTAAGTCTAAGAGATCATCTTTTTTTTTTTTTGAGATGGAGTCTCGCTCTGTCACCCAGGCTAGAGTGCAGTGGCGCGATCTCAGCTCACTGCAACCTCTACCTCCCAGGTTCAAGCGATTCTCCTGCCTCAGCCTCCCGAGTAACTGGTATTACACGCACACACCGCCATGCCCAGCTAATTTTTTTTTTTTTTTTTTTGTATTTTTAGTAGAGATGTGGTTTCACCACAGTGGCCAAGCTGGTTTCAAACTCCTGACCTGAAGTGATCCACCCGCCTTGGCCTCCCGAAGTGCTAGGATTAAAGACGTGAGCCACCACGCCTGGCCGAGATCAACTTTAACAGCAAGGTGACGTGGATTATCCTTCCAGTGTGGCACATTTCTTCAGCTTTAAAAATTAGAAGCCAATTTTGTATTAGCAAATGTTTTATTTGCTAATGAAACCTCTTCCTCAAGACACTGCTGTTGCTCTATTACACTGAGTCCTGCATCTGTCCCATAAACAGTTGAACTCCGTGGGCAGCGGCAGCAGAGAAAAACATGGAGGCATACAAAGTAGAAAAAAAGCTGCTCTGCAGGAACTCTTCACAAAAGTTAACTACAAAGCAAATCTGCATTACTATGTCATAAAAGAAAAATGCCACTATCTAGAAAACCTATTTGTTCTTACTTAAATTGACTATTGCAGAAAATTTAGGCCTTTTATCCAGCTTTTACCAGAGTGAATATAGGTGATTCCTCAGAACACATTTTTAAAATATCTGAGAGAGCTTGCCATTATCTTTTTGATTTAATTGCTCTATTCATGAATTAGGGACTGTTAATGATTTGAACTCCATTTTCGGTAAACATACAGCCAAGTTGATTTTTCCTTAATACTTTTCTCTAGTACTTATCCCTCCTTCTCTTATCCCAAAGTAATCTACTGGAGGTGACTCTAATAACCAAGTCAGACTGTTATGATGAGAATCCCTAGAATCTAAGCTCCCTTAGAATACAACTTCTCCCTTCAGTTTCACTTGCTAGGCACTTAACAGGCACTCAAATTTCCACTGAATGGAAAATTCCATCAATGTGAAACAATGAAAAGACACACAAATCTGGCCAGTGCGGTGGCTCACACCCATAATCCTAGCACTTAGGGAAGTCAAGGGTGGGTGGATCACTTGAGGCCAGGAGTTCCAGACCAGCCTAGCCAACGTGGCAAAACCCCATCTCTACTAAAAATATAAAAAACCACTGTAGTGGTGCACGCCTGTAATTCCAGCTACTTGGGAGGCTGAGGTAGGAGAATCACTTGAACCTGGGAGGTGGTGGTTACAGTGAGCTGAAATCGCACCACCGCACCCCAGCCTGAGCAAGAGTTAGACCCCGTCTCAAAAACAACAACAACAACACCGTATCTTAGGCTCCACACTCTAAAACTTTTGTATTATATCTGCTAGGTAAAACCTAGAAATCTGCATTTTAAAAAGTATTTCACATACAATTTCACTGAAGAACCCTAATTAAGTCCATACTATTTAATAACATAAAATGAAAGTTTAAGAGAAAAAAGTTGAAAATATTTTAGTTGTTCAGACACTGAACATCAGACACTGAAGGTAAGTCTACCTTACCTTCTCCCCTACTGATATGGTTTGGATCTGTGTACCCACCCAAATCTCGTGTTCAACTGTAATCTCCAATGTTGGAGTGTGGCCTGGTGGGAGGTGACTAAATCATGGGGGCAGTTTCTAATGATTTAACACCATCCCCCTAGGCCCATCCTCATGATTAAGAGTTCTCTCAAGATCTGGTTGTTTAAAAATGTGTGGTACCTTCCCCCTCTCTCTCTTTCTCCTGCTCCAGCCATATAAGCCATACCTGCTTCCCGTTCCCCTTCCACCATGGCAGTAATTTTCCTAAGGTCTCCCCAGATGCAGAAGCCACTATACTTCCTATACAGCCTGTAGAACCGTGAGCCAATTAAACCTCTTTTCTTTATAAATTACCCAGCCTCGGGTATTTCTTTTTTGTTTATTTCTTTTTCTTTTTTTTTTTTTTTTGAGACGGAGTCTTGCTCTGTCGCCCGGGCTGGAGTGCAGTGGCCGGATCTCAGCTCACTGCAAGCTCCGCCTCCCGGGTTTATGCCATTCTCCTGCCTCAGCCTCCTGAGTAGCTGGGACTACAGGCGCCGCCACCACGCCCGGCTAGTTTTTTTTTGTATTTTTTAGTAGAGACAGGGTTTCACTGTGTTAGCCAGGATGGTCTCGATCTCCTGACCTCGTGATCCGCCCGTCTGGGCCTCCCAAAGTGCTGGGATTACAGGCTTAAGCCACCGCGCCCGGTCTTTTTTGTTTATTTCTTTGTTTGTTTGAGAAGGAGTCTCACTCTGTTACCCAGGCTGGAGTGCAGCGGCACGATCTCAGCTCATTGCAACCTCCGCCTCCCAGGTTCCAGCAATTCTCCTGACTCAGCCTCCTGCGGAGCTGGGATTACAGGTGTGCGCCACTACGCCCAGCTAAGTTTTTGTATTTTTAGTAGAGATCAGGTTTCGCTGTGTTTACCAGGCTGGTCTTAAATTCCTGACCTCAGGTGATCCACATACCTCAGCCTCCCAAAGTGCTAGGATTACAGGCATAAGCCACCACACCCGGCCTCAGGTATCTCTTTATAGCAGTGCGAGAACATACTAATATCCCTAGCCTCTTCATATTTCCCACACACAGTTTAATTAGTTTTCCTAGAGCTCCCATGAAATAAGCCATGACCCTTCTTGCCCATCATTACTTTTTCTCTCACTGACTGGCCCACTGTATTCCCCAGAGCCAACCCAAGTCCTGCTATACCAAAACTCCCAATAATTTAACCCCCGCTCACCTACTGGGACAGAACTGCCTCAACTGAACAGTGACTGACGCCAGTGCTTCCCCGTCCATACATCAGAACCCTCGGCACTGAATCAGAATTCCTAGTATTTAATCATGAGTTATTAAACCTGACCACAAAGTTTTCTGCCCAAAGCTATAAAAATCCTCAAATAAATACTAACCATATCATTAATAAGGCCAATTCGTGTCGGTGGGGCTTGAAGACCTAGTAGTGTTGCAAGGCGACGCTGTTTTTCAACTATAATGCCATCCATATCCAGAAGTCGAGCAATATCCGTACGCTCAGGAGTAATAGGGATGGAAAGAGTGGCTAAAAGGACTCTAGTAGACATTCTATGGAGAACAAAGTTTTCAATCTGTTAGGCTTATAAATGATACTTGATAAGCGGAAAAGCACTTCTCTTTAATCTTAAGGCGTGCTAGTGACAGAACGTGTACATCACCACGGTGCACAATATTCATAAATATTATTCCATCAAAGCACGGGAGTAAGAGAAATGGACTGTGTTTAAAAGAATACTTAGAGAATCAGAACTTCATCTATCCACTCAGTACTGTCAGTGTTTTCTAGCTTCAGAAAGATTGTGATTAAATGGCAGAAAAGGCATATTCATATACCTCAGATTTCCTTACAAAATTAAGGCAGGTTTAAAAACTAAGGAAATGACTAGGCGCAGTGGCTCACACCTATAATCCCAGCACTTTGGGAGGCCGAGGCGGGCGGATCACCTGAGGTCAGGACTTCCAGACCAGCCTGGACAACATGGTGAAACCCCATCTCTACTAAAAATACAAAAATTAGCCAGACACAGTGACAGGCGCCTGTAATCCCAGCTACTCAGGAGGCTGAGGCAGGAGAATCACTTGAAACCCAGGAGACGGAGCGTGCAGTGAGCTGAGATTGCACCACTGCACTCCAGCCTGGGCGGCAGAGTAAGACTATCTCAAAAAAAAAAAAAAAAAGGCCAGGCGCGGTGGCTCAAGCCTGTAATCCCAGCACTTTGGGAGGCCGAGACGGGCGGATCACGAGGTCAGGAGATCGAGACCAGCCTGGCTAACACGGTGAAACCCCGTCTCTACCAAAAATATACAAAAAACTAGCCGGGCGAGGTGGCGGGCGCCTGTAGTCCCAGCTACTCAGGAGGCTGAGGCAGGAGAATGGCATAGACCTGGGAGGCGGAGCTTGCAGTGAGCTGAGATCTGGCCACTACACTCCAGCCTGGGCGACAGAGCAAGACTCCGTCTCAAAAAGAAAAAAAAAAAAAACCCTAAGGAAGTAAGTGGCAATAAGGGAGAAAAAAATTGTAAGAATCACAAGTGAACACTATTATAGTAGTGAGGGAGATGGGCAGACAAAAACAAGGAGCTAATTTTTTACATCCCTGAAAAACAAGAAGTCAGGCTGCATTCAGAGCATGGCAGGACCCCAAAGCCTGTGAGCCCTGGAGCTGAAGGGCTAGCATTTCCCCTTCGCCATTTCCAAGACTGTGACCTTAGGCAAGATACTCAATTTTCTGAGTCATAAGGCTATTGCAAAGATTAAACCAAATAATGTACTAAGACAGCCTAATGCTCACTATTATTATAGTACTCTCTGAAAGCAAGCTATGTGTCTGGAAGAACATGTTTTTCCTTAAAACAAACAGATGTGGGCCAGGCACAGTGGCTCACGCCTGTAATCCCAGCACTTTGGAAGGCCGAGGCAGGTGGATCACCTGAGGTCAGGAGTTCAAGACCAGCCTGGCTAACATGGTGAAACTCTGTTTCTACTAAAAATACAAAAAAAAAAAAATTACAAAAAAAATTAGCCAGGCGTGATGGCTGGCGCCTGTAATCCCAGCTACTCGGGAGACTGAGGCAGGAGAAGCACTTGAACCCGGGAGGCGGAGGTTGCAGTGAGCCGATATCACGCCATTGCACTCCAGCTTGGGCAACGGGAGCGAAATTCTGTCTCAAAAAAAGGATGTGAATTACATAAGTGACAGTGGATGCCATAATGGACACCATCCTCAAGAGTTTCTAAGAAAGTATACTAGTGGCCAGGCACAGTGGCTCATGCCTATAAATCCCAACACATTGGGGGCCTAAGGCAGGTAGATCACTTGAGACCAGAAGCTTTGAGACCAGCCTGGGCAACGTAACGAGATTGTCTTCACAAAAAAAGTTAAACATTAGCTGGACGTGGTGGCGCTCGCCTGTAGTCTCTGCTACTCAGAAGGCTGAGGTGGAAGAATCGCCTGAGCCCAGGAGTTCGAGGATGCATGCGGCAAGCTACAACACACCACTACACTCCAGCCTGAGCAAGGAAGCAAGACCCTATTAGAAAGGAAAGAAAGACCGTATCAGAAAGCAAAGAAAAAGAGAACAAAGGAGAGAAAGAAAGAAAATATACTAGCGGGACTCATTTAATTGGTCCCATGAAAACTGGTCCCATGAATTGCTCTAAAATAGTTTTACATAAGACAGACAATTTGCTGTAGACAATTCTACTGGATAACAAAATAATTGGTCTACCAATACAAGAAAACAGGTGGTATGTGTGTTGTGTAAGTTCAATAGCATTTTTTTTTTTTTTTTTTTGAGACGGAGTCTTGCTCTATTGTCCAGGCTGGAGTGCAGTGGCACAATCTCAGCTGACCACAACCTACGCCTCCCAGGTTCAAGCCATTCTCTGGCCTCAGCCTCCCGAGTAGCTGGGATTACAGGCGTGTGCCACCACACCCAGCTGATTTTTGTATTTTTAGTAGAGACAGGGTTTTGCCATGTTGGCCAGGCTGGTCTTGAACTCCTAACCTCAAGTGATCCATCCACCTCAGCCTCCGAAAAGTGCTGGGATTACAGGCATGAGTCACTGCGCCCGGCCAGAAATGTATTCTTTTTAAGTGACAGGAAACAGGTTATATGTAATGTTATAAATAATAAAATGGAAGACTATGCCTTTGGGGCTCATTTCTGTCATTTGTTGCTACAGAAGTTTCTCTGAACGTGTAGAGCACGAGGAAAAAATGGTCTGTAGGTTGTTGGGTTACAGACCCTTCTTTTTACATTCATATGTATTTATATAAGAATAAATATGTCCCATATATTCTACAGTTAATATTTTGCAATCAGAAAGAAAATGACTTGATAGAAGTATTTACCTTGCTGGGCGTGGTGGTTCACACCTGTAATCCCAGCACTTTGGGAGGCCGAGCCAGGAGGATCACCTGAGGACAGGAGTTTGAGGACAGCCTGGCCAACATCGTGAAACCCCATCTCTACCAAAAATACAAAAAATTAGCCGGGCATGGTGGTGCACACCTATAATCCCAGCTGCTCGCGAGGCTGAGGCAGGAGAATCATTTGAACCCAGGAGGCGGAGTGAGATCACACCACTGCACTCCAGCCTGTGCAACAAGAGCGAAGGCTCTGTCTCAAGAGGAAAAAAAAGTTGGGTGCGGTGGCTCACACCTGTAATCCCAGCACTTTTGAGAGGTGGGGGCAGGTGGATCATGAGGTCAGAAGTTCGAGGCCAGCCTCGAATATGGTAAAACCCCATCTCTACTAAAAATGCAAAAATTAGCCAGGCATGGTGGTGGGTGCCTATAATCCCAGCTACTCCAGAGACTGAGCCAGAAGAATCGCTTGAACATGGGAGGCAGAGGATGCAGTGAGCCAAGATCGCGCCACTGCACTCCAGCCTGGGCAACAAAGCAAGACTCCGTCTCACCAAAAAAAAAAAGAAAGAAAAGAAAAAAAGGGTTTTTCTTAATTTCCTATCTGTTCTAAGAATAGACTCTAAATACCTGTATGTGGATAGAAAGCTCATCCGTTAAATGTGTTTTTGCCAATATTCAAATTTCTCAACTGGGCTTTTAGTGGAATTACTTATCACCTGAGGTGAGGAGTTCAAGACCAACTACTAAAGTCCAAGAATACTGTTCAGGAAGGGCAACGTCTTGAGACGTCTATAATTGTCACAACTGGGGGTGGTTGCTACTAGCATCTAATGGGGAGAAGCTGGAGATACTGCTAAACAACCTGCAGTACACAGGACAGCCCCACAACTGAGAATTATCTAACCCAAAATGTCAGCAGTGCAGAGGCTGAGAAACCACGGCCTAGAATATACCATGTCATATAACAGGTATTTGTTACAAAATTTCAACATTATCCAAGTATAACATTCTTACCTTTGCATCTCATCTTGTGTAAGATTCTTTCTCATTTCTCTAGAGAGATGGTAAAGACGATGGAGTGTAGATGCATGAAAAAGAGCATTTCCAGATTTCCAAAACACAGTTGAGACTTTGTTATAGTAATTTGCCATCAACTGAGGTTTAGGTGGTTTTTTAGACAAGGAGAATAGCCCATGAATATCTTCCACAGCTTTGAATGCTTCCTAAAATTAGTAGTACAAATTAAAAGTCATTGCATTCTATAACATGAAAAAAATCTAATTCAAATTTCTATGAAACCTACAACACAGAAAACATAAAAATAGCAAATAAAATACCTTTGTGTGGTTCTCTTTACTCATGTATAATATCTATTTTAGAAAACTGCCACAATTACAAATACACTAACTCCTTAAACTTTTTAAAAGTTCTTTAGGAAATATTGGAAAGTAGACAGAACAGACTCAAGAAAATATCTGCATATTATCCCATCACTTGGGACAATATAAAGAAAAAAATCTAGAAAGACATACAACAGGTTATTTCTGAGTGATAAGATAATGGATGAATATGTCTCTTCTTTTAATTTATGCATTTTTTTCTATAATGGAGCATGTTTACTCATCTTCTACAGGTAGTATTTTAAGATGGGTGTCCCCATAGAAAAGGAAACATGTGCAAGAACAAGACATCGAATCACACTTTCACCGGGCTCAAAGACTCCCAATCTTTAGTTTCTTCCTCTATAATTTCAATCAAATATTGTCCATCAAATATACAAAAGACTTCAAGGTCACACGACTACAAAATTATATAGAATGTTTTTGGAGGATTCTTAGAGAAAAAGGGCCAGGTGAGGACTAACTTCCTACCACCACCAAGATCTCCAATGCAAGACAGTCAGCTAAAGCACTACTAAGAAATCTAGAATAATCTACAGCAGCACTTCTCCAACAATCAGTAGTATTCTTTTTTTTATTTCTAACCTCTTACCGAAGAATATAAAATACAAAATTACCACAAAAATGAAACAGAAAAAGTTCACTTTTTATCAGAGTAAACACACAGAAAATTTACAATAAAATTGCAACTAAGATACTCTGCATATGCTTCTCTACGCTATACTTATTTCATCACAGACCAGAGAGTTCACAAATGACACCAGTCACGAAACCACACTTCGAGCAGCAGCGGCAACGTATTGTTTTATATGTCAAGAAACTTGTGTCTGAAAGAGATTATACGGTTTGCTCCACAATTCATAGAAGGCAACCAGAAACAAAATATTCTGAGATTTCTTGTTCAGAACTTTTCCCAGTCCATCAGGCAACTTTAATTCCTTATCTACTGAAATTAATCAATGCATACCAAGATGAAGCTATTCATTAAGGGGGGAGAAAAATAACAGACTATTATTTCTAGAAAGAAAAGCTAATAGATCCAACATACCTGCCACAATTCCATGCTGATAGCACTGTCCAACTGAACAAGTCTGGTTTCCAAATGCATGGACTGGCTCTCTGGATTATTAAGATTGATTGCCGTACTTTGGTTATGGTGGCGCTGAATCTGCGATAAGTGCATTCTCAAATTGTCACACAGTTTACGGAATTCAGCCTTACGCGTGTATTGGAGGCAGAATTTGAAAGCTATAAGCATAATTGTAAAATATATTAGGTATCTTCCACTATCTATTTAAATATTTGACTAGGTTTTATTTCACACATTAAAATCAGTTATTTTAACGGGACTCATCAAACTCATCATTAGTCTTTGTGATGCAATGAAAATCAACTTATTTCATCCAGACTATCTTTTGAGTGAACCCTAACAAAACCAAAAACATAATCATCGGTCCTTGCCTAGAACTAAAACGTGGTGCTGGCAGAGTTTACAAACGGGAAACTAAAATTTAGACCTAAGAGTCACCTTTCAAAGACCCACCACTTTAAATCCTAAGAGTAAAAATAATCTAGTCTGAAATATAAGGAACTTTGATATCTAACTTACATGGAAAGCAACAAGGTTCTGTACTAATTAAAACTACATAATACAAATTGAGGGCTTATAGTAACCTAATTTCAACTGATTACAGATAGATGAACTATTTGTTCCCTGTCATTTAAATGGACACGTTAATTTTTTTACTGTCACATATGCGATATTGGATTATTTTTTAGATTTCCTTTCCCCTTAAAAACAGTATGTCTATTTTAACAGACCTAAAACAGAGATGCAGTTTAACTTCAAGTTAATATTTGTATCAACAGCCGTCAAAAAGTCCAAATTTACTTGTGTTAAAGTGAAAATTCAGGCTGGGCAGAGCTGTAATCTCAGCACTATGGGAGGCCAAAGCAAGAGGATCACTTGAGTCCAGAAGTCTGAGACCAGCCTAGGCAACAATACAAAATCCCAGTTCTTTTTTTAAAAATAAAAATAAATTTAAAAAAAACCCAAAGTGGAGAATTCAAGTTTACTAAAAAAAAAAAAAAAGGAAAAGTTTATTTTTTCAGTCACATGGAGAATTCCAAAAGGACTTTAAAAAATGTCTTTCATTGTTACTGATATTTGTGTAAAAAGAAAAAAAAATTTTCAGGTATCAATAAAATACAATTCACACAAAACTCCTTTAACGAGCAAAACAAATTCCTTACTCAGTCATTTTGGTTTTGTTTTTTGTTTTTTTGGGGGTTTTTTTTGTTTTTTTTTTGAGACGGAGTCTTGCTGTTACCAAGGCTAGAGTGCAGCGGTGCCATCCTGGCTCACCGCAACCTCCGCCTCCTGGGTTCAAGCAATCCTCCCACCTCAGCCTCCTGAGTAGCTGGGATTACCACAATGCCCGGCTAAATTTTTTGTATTTTTAGTAGAGAAGGGGTTTCACCATGTTGGCCAGGCCGCTCTTGAACTCCTGACCTCAAGTGATCTACCCACCTTGACCTCCCAAAGTGCTGGGATTACAGGTGTGAGCCACCACATCTGGCCGCAGTCATTTAATATCATGTGAATGCCAACATTTCAATAAGGATAAAAACTAGTTCATTTTAAGCACTTTTCAGAAAATTTACTCCTCAATTTCAAAGCACTTCACTCAGATTTGATCTTCTCATCTTACCTTGCTGGGCAATATCATGATAAAGGCGCTCTACTCTAGAATTGTTTCTAAGAAGGTCCAAACACTGCCTGTAAGACTCCCACAGGAATTTAACCCATGGAGTTAAAAGTAATCTGTCAGTACGATCCTGAGTGTCTTCACCACTTACAGCACTTAGGAGAACACTACAAAGACAGAAAAAAATGTTGAAAACAATTTTAGACAGTTTCCTACTTTGCCATGTGATTAAAAACCAAAACCAACAATGTTCATCGGAAAACAGTGCAAACTCTTCCCACAACTTTGTACACACTGCAAAGGTGTCACTAACCACTCCCTGAATTCCCAATCTGCATTATGATCGTTTAAATTAGTATTTGCCCTTCTATCTTACAGCTGTCATTTTCCACTTCCATGAATTTTTATTACCTACATAAATTTATTGGTTACCATGCATTTAAAACTTCGAAGATTTGCATTGTTTTTCTGATAAACATCTACTTCAAAAGGAAATGAAGACCCATGTAAAGGAAAACACTAAGTTAACTATGAAAGCATTTATTAGAGGTCTAACCCACATACCTCTCAGGAGTTTGAATATTATCCAGATCTTCTATATCTAAGACCATCTGCTGAGATTCTTCTTTAGCAGCTTCAGTTTTTTCCTCTGCCATTTTCAAATATGCCCTAACAACATCCTCCAGAGATTTTATGTTCACCTAATCCAAAAATACAAAAACTCTTCAGAACTTATTTTTCCATTGAAACATAAGATGTTTTAAAGGCAAATTTTAAGAGAAATGCAATATATTAACTTGGAAAGGAAAGCTCTTCTGCAGATTACTAAAAGCACTTGTTAAAAATATACAACGCAGTTCTGTTTGTACCTGCTGACAAATGTTCTTATACTGGTACAACCCCTCCTTTGCCAAGTGGCTCTTGCGAAGATCCACGCAAAGTTCCAAGTATTTCAACATAATTGGTTCGTGTATCTTTTGCCATGTTCTATGTTTTTTACTTTTCATAACATCATAAAGAACGTCCAGAGCAGGCTGCTTTTTGCCAACCTCAAGAAATTCTGAAAAATTCAGGAGAATTAAAATTAGTTATGTACACCACAGAAGAGTCTAAACTTTACTTTTTTAAATGGCTATTTCAATTCCCCAACTCATTACCAACTTTTTACTAAGTTACATTTATTTTTGACTTCTAAAGCTATGCCATAATTATCAAAAGTAAAACAACAGAAAGACTTGTACTGTGTTGCAATATGATCTACAAGTAAAACTGAATTTCACTGTATGCCACTGTGATTTAAAAGTTCCAGGCCAGGAGCAGTGGCTCATGTCTGTAATCCCAGCACGTTGGGAGGCCGAGGTGCACCAATCACTTGAGGTCTGGAGTTGGAAACCACCCTGGCCAGTATGATGAAACCCGTCTCTACCAAAAATACAAAAATTAGCCGGGCATGGTGGTATGTGCCTGTAGTCCCAGCTACTGAGGAGGCTGAGGCAGGAGAATCGCTTGAAACCAGGAGGCGGAGGTTGCAGTGAGCCAAGATCATACCACTGCACTCCAGCCTGGGCGACAAGAGTGAAATTCCATGTCTCAAAAAATAATAAAAAATGTGTCAGTATTGGTTCATTAGTTGTTACAAATAAAAATCAACAGGGGAGAAAGTGGGTGTGGTGTCAATGAAACTATATACTCTCTTCCCAACACTCTGGAAATCTCAAACTGCTCTAAAGAAGTTTTTTTTGTTTTTTAATAAAAAAATAGAAAAATGGGGCCGGGTGCAGTGGCTCACGCATGTAATCCCAACACTTTGGGAGGACAAGGGCAGATCACTTGAGGTTGGGATTTCAAGACCAGCCTAACCAAAATGGAGAAACTCAATCTCTACAACCAAAATGGAGAAACCCAGCCTCTACTAAAAATACAAAGTTGTTAGCAGGGCGTAGTGGCGCATGCCTGTAATCCTAGCTACTCAGGAGGCTGGGAATAGCATGAACCTGGGAGATGGAGGTTGAGGTGAGCTGAGATGGTGCCACTGCACTCCAGCCTGGGCAACAAGAATGAAACTCCAACTTGAAAAAAAAAAAGAAAAAGGGAAAAAAAAGAGTATATGTGTGAGACAGAGTCTCACTGTGCCACCCAGGCTGGAGTACACTGGCGTGATCTCAGCTCATTGCAACCTCCACCTCCCGGGTTCAAGCGATTCTCCTGCCTCAGCTTCCTGAGTAGCTGGGATTACAGGCACCAGCGACAGGGCCCAGCTTATTTTTGTATGTTTAGTAGAGACAGGACTTCACCATCTTGGCCAGGCTGGTCGCAAACTCCTGACCTCATGATCCACCCGCCTTGGCCTCCCAAAGTGCTGGGATTACAGGCGTGAGTCACCATGCCCAGCCAACTTACATTCTTTTGAATTTATTATCCCCTGAGCCCGAAGGCATTCTATGTGGTAACATTTCAAAATCTAGTTCCAATTTTAAGTTTTATGCATATTGTTTTGAAATACAGTCAAAAGCAATATCTTTACCATTACATTATCTGACCAAGGTTAAAATTTATCTTGTATTTCCTCATCTTTTCTTTTGTACACTTAATAGACTGGGGGAGAAAGAGGTTATTTACCCTAAGTCAACTGGTTAAATTCATCTTAACATTCATAATTGCAAATTTCACACACACATACAAACTTCCCAATGAAGATTTAAAAAATAATTTGGTGGAACTAAAACACTACATTTTAAAAAAGGCTTAAAACACTATATATATCTATCTCTCTCCTTTTTAAAAATATCATTGCTTATTTTCCTTGGAACAAGACTTTTTTTTTTTTTTGACGGAGTCTGGCTCTGTTGCCCAGGTTGGAATGCAGTAGCTTGATCTCTGCTCACTGCATGATCCCCCTACCGGGTTCACGTCTTTCTCCTGCCTCAGCCTCCTGAGTAGCTGGAACTACAGGCGCCTGCCACCACGCCTGGCTAATTTTTTTTTTTTTTTGTATTTTTAGTGGAGACGGGGTTTCACCATGTTAGCCAGGATGGTCTCGATCTCTTGACCTCCTGATCCACCCACCTTGGCCTCCCAAAGTGCTGCAGTTACAGGCATGAGCCACGGTGCCTAGCCAATACTTTTTAAGAGCTACCCGATAATACATAGCATTATCTACCATGTAGCTCTGTGCTAGGCAAGCAACCAGCAAACATGTTCCTTATTTGGGGGTCTTATTAGATCCACAGATTTAGTAATTCTCTTTCTTTCAACGATCCCATCTTCCAGAAATGATGCTTCCCAACATTCTTTCCTCCAGGAAAACCACAAACAATACCCCACCTCTCCAATATATCAAAAAGTTTGCGGCCAGGCATGGTGGCTTACGCCTGTAATCCCAGCACTTTGGGAAGCCGAGGTGGGCAAATCACCTGAGGTAGAGTTCAAGACCAGCCTGGCCAATATGGTGAAACCTCGTCTCTATTAAAAATACAAAAAATTAGCTGGGCCATGGTGGTGCACACCCGTAATCCCAGCTACTTGGGAGGCTGAGGCAGGTCAATTACTTGAACCCAGGAGGCAGAGGTTGCAGTGAGCCGAGATAGTGCCACTGTACTCCAGCCTGGGCAACAAGTCTCAAAAAACAGTTTGCAACAGGATAAATCACAAAACATACTGAAATATTTGCACAATACCTTATATGAAATCACATTTTTCACATGCAAATAATGACAAAACCCTTCACCACTGCATGAAAAAGTCCATCTTTCATCGAGTCAATCTTACTATCAAAAAAAAAAAATCTTACTAAATGAAACAAAGATGTAATACAACTAGATACTTTGTTGAAATAAGCCTTTCTTGTTGTCAGGGGTGGGGGTGGGAGGGAAAAAGCTTGCAGTCTTCTCCTATAGTGCATGCAAAGTTATTTTCTAAAATGTAACAGTACAGCCAGGTGCCTTGGCTTACACCTGGGTAATCCCAGTCCTATGGGAGGCCCAGGCATCACTTGCGATCAGGATTTGGAGATCAGCCTGGGCAACTTGGTGAAACCTTGTCTCCATTAAAAACACAAAAATTAGCCAGGCACGGTGGTGCACATCTGTAATCCCAAATACTCTGGAGGCTGAGACTTTACAATCACTTGAAACCAGGAGGCAGAGGTTGCAGTGAGCCAAGATTGTGTCACTGCACTCCAGCCTGGGCAATAGAGGGAGAGACTGTCTCAAAAAAAAAAAAAAAGGAAAAAAGAAAAGAAAATGTAACAGTACATTAGGTGTTCTTCCTAACAAAAACAGTCTCTTATCAGCAAAAAACTTGGGAGTAAATGCGTTTAATAGAATTTATACTTTAAGAAAATCACAGCAGCAGCACTAAAACGACCTATTGTATCCAATTCCTAATCTACAAAGGGCATTTTAGAGATGGAACTGAAACTATTTTTTACTTCCTGAACAGTCAATTAAAACTTGATTCCTTAGCCACGTGCGGTGGCTCACGCCTGTAAATCCCAGCACTTTGGGAAGCTGAGGGGAGCAGATCACTTGAGGCCAGGGGTTCAAGATCAGCCTGGGAAACATAGTGAAACCCCATCTCTACTGAAAAATATTAAAAAATTAGCCAGGCATGGTGGCACATGCCTGTAATCCCAGCTACTTGGGAGGCTGAGGCAGGAGAAGAGCTTAAGCCCGGGAGGCGGAGCTTGCAGTGAGCTGAGATAGTGCCACCGCACTCCAGCCTGGCCAACAGAGCGAGATTCTGTCTTAAATAAATAAATAAATAAATAGTTGGAATGAGAACAGATTTTTCATAATCCATGACAGTCAGTCTTCTGCCTTTGTCCTAATTTATATACAAGAATTTAGTTCCTCTGAATTATTTAATGGTGGCCAGGGGAAGCTTTGAAGGCTGGAAAAAAACTATCGTAAACTAAAGGTTCTATTTCAATACTCAAAATATTGACTTCCAGATTAATATCACAGAAATAAAAATTAAAATCTAGAATTATAAACCTTACTGGACGGGTGTGCATTTGGAGCATACCTTTCAAATTCATTATTGAAAGTATGTATAAAGAAGTTTACAGGCCGGGCGCGGTGGCTCAAGCCTGTAATCCTAGCACTTTGGGAGGCCGAGACGGGCGGATCACGAGGTCAGGAGATCGAGACCATCCTGGCTAACATGGTGAAACCCCGTCTCTACTAAAAAATACAAAAAACTAGCCGGGCGCGGTGGCGGGCGCCTGTAGTCCCAGCTACTCGGGAGGCTGAGGCAGGAGAATGGCGTGAACCCGGGAGGCGGAGCTTGCAGTGAGCTGAGATCCGGCCACTGCACTCCAGCCTGGGCGACAGAGCGAGACTCCGTCTCAAAAAAAAAAAAAAAAAGAAGAAGTTTACATCAGCCCTTGATGTACTAGTTTATTTGTGCAACATACCAAATAGATACGCTATAATGTTACTCAATTTGTGGACTTAATAACAGCTTTATTTCTTAAAGGCACTGGTTGTAGAACATACACTATAATAAGGTCAGCAGCAGTTAGTGTGGCACTACTAACAATATAATACGAAAAAGGGGCCTCCCCTAAATGATTATAGGATACGAAATTCTTGCCTGTAACTGCTGGTCCAAGTTCTCACCTTCCCGAATGACTACTATAATTTTTCCCCAAAAAATTGCTGATATGTATGTTTAGGGTGACCTGAATAACTATTCTACTTAAATTTATTTACATTTTATTAAGATAATGCAATAGATTAGATCTAAATATTGTTGGGATCACAAATGTTACATATAAAACATTTAGATAAAATGAGATTATTTCCAATTAGGTGAATGCCCTTTGATCTTTCACTTATGTTTTGGAAGCAGTGCCCTAGACCATCCACAATCTGCTCACTTTGAGAAGGGATCCCTCAAGATCAAAGGTATGAGTTTCTACTCTGAAGGTAACGCATGCATCCCCATCCAACAGCTTCAAAGGGCTGCAAGCAAGGCGTCCCCACAGTCCTTTTTAAAAAGCTACACAAACAAAACTCAAGTTTCCCCCGGTGTCCCTCATCTTGCCTACTTTAATTTCAGATCCTTTCCTTAACCTGCCCTTCATGAATCAAGCCTGTGCCAATTTAGAAACAGGAAAAAAATGTTTGATGCACATTACATATCTTTTCTGTATCAAGTTCTTATGAAGATTCCAAAAAGAGAAGCGATAAAGGAAACAAGGCCCGAACATACCAAATATGTAGTATGTAGGCCATTATAGTGCTTTGGCCTACTAGCACAGGAAAAAAAATACCTGTTGGGCAAAGCATGCAAATGACTGTAAAACATCCACAACAGCCATGCAGAGTAGTCATTTCATGCAAACCATTTCGTATACTACAAATTCTAAGTTTTGAAACGTCGAAAAGTCATAAACTTTGCTACAGTTTGGTTGATAGTGACAAAGTTCCATTTCAATCTCTTCTTTCCGATATATTAATAAACATCTTAAAACTTCTTGTCTACTCTAACCATTAGATCACTGGTTATCATTAGAACGAATTAGTGATCACACCTATGTTGTAGTTTGAATAGGTTTTTAAAACAATTACTCCATCCACACAATGTGGAATTAGCCTGTTCCACAGACCAGTTCCCTCCCCCACAAAAGCGTTACTTTTACTTTAAAAAGTATATGACCAACATATCTCTGGTCCTGCCAGATTATCAGTTTATGTGCCGACTCAAACTGCCGTTTTCACAAGATAAATTTTCAAAGAAGCTAACAAAATAAGGTCTGCAAACATAAAACTGTAACTCACAAGGTATATTCATCTACAACATGGGTAAAACCCAAAACTTCTATTTCGGTGAAGGAAGGATGAAAAGAAGAACTATCCATGCCCTAACGATTATTAAAATTGTCCGGTTAGAGGGAGAAAAAAAAAACAAACCCCTAAACAAAGTTTCTTAAGCCCAGACACTAGGCAAGAACATGTGTATCCCCAGAGCGCCAATGTAACAAATGCCTTGGAGAGATCGGGGCACAGAAGTTTTTCCCTCAAGCGCCAATGGCCGAAGTACTCATATGAAAATCGAAATCGCAGAAAGCAGCACTGTGGCAGAAAAAAAGAGAAAAAAGGACTGATCTGGATGTCAAGAGAAGTTGGTTTTAACTCTCTTGGCTCAACAACTCCCGGAGTGACCTTGGGGAAACCTCTCTCTAGGCCTGTTTCGTTATCTTTAAGAGGAGACGTGAAGTCCCTTTACATTAACTCTATTCCAACTTCCAGTGATTCGAAACAGGCTTTCGGAATGCTTCTAATCAATGCCAGGAAAAAGGAAAAAACAAAAACAAAACAAAACAAAGCAAAAAAACAGGAATCAGGTTAAATGGGTCAAGAGGCCCCTAAGTGGATATAAAGCGGCTGGGTGAAGGGTAAGTGGACCCTGACCCAGCAAAGTACTGAGCGCGGTTTGGAGAGCGGGGGTGGCTGCGGGAGGACCGGGGGTGGGTCCGTAGGGCTCCCGGCCCGGGCAGGAGGTGGAGCCGAGGCTCTCGCGTGCATTGTCCCCGGGAGGGAGCCATGTTTCTTACTCCCCGGCACTCCCAGATGGCGGCCGGGGGCGCGGGGCCTAAGCAGACCAAAGCTCCAGGGACCTGGAGAGCCAGCGGAGGCAGGCAGTGGGGAGAGAGCTCCAGCCCGCGTAGGGGCTGTCTCCCGGGCTGCGGTCCCCGCGACGCATCCGAAGGCGGCAGGGGGACGGAAGGGCCCCCGGGGCGACGGTTCCGGGCTCCGCGCCTCCCAGACCCCAGTCGATAAAGTGAGAAGGAAACCCATGCCCAACCACGGGCTGGGACAGCAGCTCGCAGGCCGCATCGGTCTCCTCTCCCCGCGCGGGCCGGGCGGCAGAGCAGTGGGAAACAGGCCCGCGCTCTCGACCTCGGAGGCCTCGGGCCGCCCCAGCCCGGCGCGCCCCGATCAGCTACTCACCGTTGGCGCGTTTGAGGGCATTTTCCGGCCTCTGAAAATAGGCCGGCATCTTGGCGGCAGGCTCAGCTCACCCGGCGTTAGCGAACTCTAGTGGCCCGGGCCGGGAGAGGAGACGAAGGGGAACCAGCGTAAGGTTCCACGCGCCTCGCCAGCAGTCGCCCGCGCCCAGCCGGCCAGAGACGGAAAGGAAAGAGCCACGTGACCTCCGCGCGGCGGCCCCGCTGCCGTCCAGGCCCCGGATGTAGGGGCGGGCCTCCGTGCGCGCAAGCGCGCTGGCGTCACGCACGCCGACAGACGTGGCGGCGCCGGGATCCTAGGCGCGCAAGGTCCAGTTCCCCTTTTGGGCCAGTCCTGGGTAGTGTTAGGGAGACGGTTCCCAGGCTCTTCAATCTTCGAGCGAGAATTGGGGTGGGAAGGGTGAGTGTGGGTTCAGAGTTTCTGTCTGGAGATCAAGATTGATTTTCAAAGCGGCTTGTGCGGAGTCGTGCTGTTACAATAAGGTCCCATCCAACCAGGGAATGGCCTGTCTTGGCTATCTGAAAATGCTGAGTTTAACGACAGTAAGCAGGTGTCATCAGGTCAGCGCCGCTCAACCGTGAGGGACAAGTATGGGGAAGAGTGACGGCTAAAATAAGCAAGCAAGGTTATTTTATGTCTTGGTAATGTAAAAAGTTGGTGTTACAGGGATTGCCTTGAGAAATTGAGGCTATCCGAGTGGGGACAGAGCGACCTGGCAAAGGGCGAAACTTCCTGGAGTACTGCAGACTTGCTTGGTGTTTGAAAACACAAGGAAAGGAGTGTCGTCACTTTTTACATACAGCGCACGTCACAAACAAATTAAGAAAAATTAGTGTTAGTGAAAAAAATCAATTTGAGAGACCCTGTCTTTTATTGTTGCTTAACAATTTTAGTGTTCGCAGACGAAGTACTTTACCTAGAACTTGAAAATTATTTGAACCGAATCTAATTCTCAAGCCCTTGGTATGAAATAAAGATGAGCTCAGAAGGAAAATTTAGAAGGCAACAGTGAAATCGATTATCGTCAGTGTATTACACATTTAATAGATGAGATATGTGAATTAATGAATGAGGAAATTGGCCGGGCATGGTGGCTCACGCCTGTAATCCCAGCACTTTGGGTGACTGGGGCGGGTGGATTACCTAAGGCCAGGAGTTCGAGACCAGCTCCGCCAAGGCAAAACCCCGTCTCTACTAAAAGTACAAAAATTAGGCCTGGCGTGGTGGCTCACGCCTGTAATCTCGACGCTTTGGGAGGCCGAGGCGGGCGGATCACGAGGTCAGGAGTTCAAGAGCAGCCTGGCCAACATGGTGAAACCCCCGTCTCTACTAAAGATACAAAAAATTAGCCGGGCGTGGTGGCAAGCGCCTGTAATGCCAGCTACTCGGGAGGTTGAGGCAGGAGAATCGCTGGAACCCGGGAGTTGGAGGTTGTAGTGAGCCTAGATTGTGCCACTGCACTCCAGCCTGGCTGACAGGGCGAGACTCCGTCTCAAAAAAAAAAAAAAAAAAAAAAAGCCGGGAGCTGTGGCTGGCACCTGTAATCCCAGCTACTCAGGAGGCTGAGGCAAGAGAGTCGCTTGAACCCCGGAGGCAAAGGTTGCAGTGAGCCAAGATCAGGCCACTGCACTCCAGCATGGGCGACAGAGCAAGACTCCGTCTCAAAAAAAGAAAGAAAAAAAGAAAGAAAAAAAAAAGAATGACAAAAACCACAGGATATGCACAAAAAGCATTTCCCCCTCATTACTTCTTCCTCCACAGAGAGGTTTTTCTTTTATTTTTCAACATGAACAGTTCTACTACAGGAGAGGTTTTTCTATTTAACTAAATTGATCACTTTTTTTTTTTGAGACGGAGTCTTGCTCTGTCACCCAGGCTGGAGTGCAGTGGCCCGATCTCAGCTCACCGCAAGCTCCGCCTCCCGGGTTTACGCCATTCTCCTGCCTCAGCCTCCCGAGTAGCTGGGACTACAGGTGCCTGCCGCCTCGCCCCGCTAGTTTTTTGTATTTTTTAGTAGAGACGGGGTTTCACCATGTTAGCCAGGATGGTCTCGATCTCCTGACCTCGTGATCCGCCCGTCTCGGCCTCCCAAAGTGCTGGGATTACAGGCTTGAGCCACCGCGCCCGGCCCTAAATTGATCACCATAAAGAAAGAAGATTTGGAAATGTAAACATGGACCCAAAAGAATCACAAATTCTAAAGAAGTTTATTTTAAAATTAGTTTCAGAGAGCTCTTCCTCCAGAATGCTTAGACCATTCTGTGTCTGAGCTTACTCGACAAAAAATTAAGAGTCAGGCAGGGTTGATATAAAAACAACAAGTAGTGAGAAGCTATAGTAACTTTTATGGGCAGGATCAAGAGACTTGTTTGTGTATATAATAATTAAGTCAAAATTAAAGAGTGAAACATATGAGCACTTCTTTTAAGAGATGTAGACAGAGAACCATTTAGCAGATCATAGAGAGATGCAAACAAAATAAAGGAAAGTTGCCCTAAAAAATCAGAAAAAAAGCTTGCTGACATTCTTAACTTTCTGTTATCATTTCTCAAAGGAAATAGTAAAATGGGCCAGCATGATGGCTCATGTCTGTAATCCCAGCACTTTGGGAGGCCGAGGCAGGCGAATCACAAGGTCAGGAGTTTGAGACCAGCTTGGCCAACATGCTGAAACCCCGTCTGTACTAAAAATACAAAAATTAGGCATGGCGGCATGCGCCCCTAATCCCAGCTACTCGGGAGGCCAAGGCAAGAGAATCACTTGAACCCTGGAGGTGGAGGTTGCATGAGCCAAGACTGTGCCACTGCACTCCAGCCTGGGCAACAGAGCAAGACTCCATCTAAAAAAAAAAAAAAAAGTAAAATGGCTTCATTCGTTATTACTCATTATTTAGTGTGCCCACAACAACACAGACACTAGAAACTTGGGAGATAGATGGGGCACGGTGGCTCAGGCCTGTAACCCCAGCACTTTGGGAGGCCGAGGCAGGTGGATCACAAGGTCAGGAGTTTGAGACCAGCCTGGCCAATATGGTGAAACCCTGTCTCTACTAAAAACACAAAAATTAGCCTGGCGTGGCGGCAGGTCCCTGTAGTCCCAGCTACGTGGGAGGCTGAGGCAGGAGAATCACTTGAACCCCAGAGGTGGAGGTTGCAGTGAGCCAAGATCGTACCACCACACTGCAGCCTGGGCAACAGAGTGAGACTCTGTCTCAAAAAAAAAAAAAAAAAAAAAACAGAAACTTGGGAGATAAAATGAAATCCAATATCTCTACATATTGATCCTTTTCCTTTCAAATTATTTAAAGTATATAAAGCATTTAGTAATATAACAAATGATTGTATACTTGTATTTAAATAAAATTATGTAAAGTGTAGTGGCATTTTGGGAATGAATAAAGGTGTAACATCAATTTCCAGGATAAATTTACCTATTAAATTCAACCAACGTAGCCAGGTGCGGTAGCTCCTGCCTATAATCCCAGCACTTTGGGAGGCCAAGGCAGGTGGATTGCCTGAGTTCTGGAATTCGAGACCAGCCTGGTCAACCTGATGAAACCCTGTCTCTACTAAAAATGCAAAAATAAAAAGCGAAAAAAAAAAAAAAAAAAAAACTAGCTGGGCATGGAAGCACACCTGTAGTCCTAGCTACTCAGGAGGCTGAGGCAGGAGAATTGCTTGAACCCAGGAGGCGGAGGTTGCAGTGAGCCAAGATGGAGCCACTGCACTCCAGCCTGGGCCACAGAGTGAGACTCCGTCTCAAAAAAAGAAAAAAAAATTTTAAAAATTAAAAATATATATCTACCACAAATATTCAGTACCAGCTAATAGTCATTGGATGCTAAAGATAAAAAGATCAAGATGCCTGCTTTCAAGGAGTTAATGATTCACTGGTGAAAATAAATGAATACACAATGAGCGACAAGATAGGATCTAATCTGGGCCAGGAGTAAAGGATAATTATTTGCCATTGATTAATGCTTACTTATTAGAAAACAGGCAACCTGAAGATGATAGAAACCACTTTGGGAAATGGTAAGAGGAAATAACCAGGCTCATGGTTTTTTCTAACTAATCAAATTAATTTTGTATTACATATGACTGGATCATTAATATGATGTTTTAGGGTTTTTTTCTGACTTGAGTAAACATGATTCCCAGAAAGACAATTTTTAGCACAACAGAGGTACTGCATTATATGTATTTGCAACATAGTATCATACAGCGTTAAAACAAGTAGCATGTTTTACAATTTACAAAGTGTTTTCACATTTCTAGTTTTATTTACAAGTTTGCGGTAATGAAGGTATTTGTACCGCATGAGCATAATGAATTTCAAAGAGGTTAACTAAGGTTCACAGTAATACATTCCTTCAACCAGCCATTATCAAGTGCATTTCATGTACCAGGCACAGTAGGCCGGGTGCGGTGGCTCACGCCTGTAATCCTAACACTTTGGGAGGCCAGGCAGTGGATCACCTGAGGTCAGGAGTTCGAAACCAGCCTGGCCAACATGGTGAAACCCAGTCTCTACTAGAAATACACAAAATTAGCCAGACGTGGTGGCTCGATCCTGTAATCCCAGCTGCTCGGGAGGCTGAGGCAGGAGAATCGCTTGAACCCAGGAGGCGGAGGTTGCAGTGAGCCGAGATTGTACCACTGTACTCCAGCCTGGTGACAGAGCAAGATTCTGTCTGGAAAAAAAAAAAAAAAAAAAAAAAAAAGATACTGGCTTTCCTATACCTAAATAGCCCTTTCCTCCTCCCCATCCCACTACCTTCACCCCACTATCTGCCGCCAATACTTCAAGCCTCAGCTCAAAGACTTCCTTTGCAAAGCCTTTCCTGACCGCTGAGGGTGACTGAATTGCCCCTTTGTTTGTGCTCTTGGCTCATGCAACCATTAACTCCATCATCACCCATTCCTGAGCACTCTGCTACCCCTGCGACCTTCACAGGCAGCTGTATTCCTCCCTTGAGCCGCTGACTCCTGGAGGTGGCATCAGTGACCACCTGTGACCTGACCTTCCTGGTTGGGTCCTCTGCCTTACCTTGGCCACTTGCACACATGGTCATACCCTAGAGTCTAGACCAGAGGTCAGCAAACTTTTTCTGTGAAGGGCCAGGATGGTACATATTTTAGATTTTGTGAGCCAAGAGGCAATGTCTTCAACTCTTTGAGCAACTGTGCTTGCTGAAGGGATAATAGTCTGTGTGTGTGTGTG